ATAGCATGTATAGAGATGAACTTCTGAGTCGCTGTCACATTCATGCGCGAGTCCTGTAAGTCCTGCATACATACACATGCATATATGTACATACGTCAGCGCACACATATACACACATATGTGCTCTCACGCACACACACAAACACACACATGAGCAGCCGTTACAAATCGCCGGCGAGAGTCCAAAACTCATGTCGTACATATGTGTGCGTGTGTGTGCAAGTGTGTATAGGGGTGAAACGAGTTCCGTGGGCGTGGCCAAATATATGTATGTTATCCCGCATGTTGAGGCTTGCCTACGACATGTGCGTGCGAGCGAGATGCATGCAGTTTCACTTAAAATAACTCTCCCGAAATGCGTGTGACGATTGTTATGTGTGTGTGTGTGTGTATGTGTGTGTACGCATGTGTGCCAGTCAGTGTGCGTATGTGTGTGTGTGTGTGTGTTGGCCGCCTAACTGCTTCACTTTTGCTTATGCCCATGTAGTGCACATAACAGGACTCTGACAAGGATAACTGCGCATTGTAGATTCAAAATCAAATGTATGGTGATAGTCAGATTCTTATAAATTAGCCAAAATATGTTAAAATGTTGTTGATTATTTATTTCTGTCTAGTTCTGGATCATATCTTAGCTCTAACAAATGTTCACATATTTATTATAGCACACTTGCCCAATCCTTTTTTTAGTTTTGTTGCAAAAAGTTGCCAATTTTAACCGCTTGTACTGAGCTAACGCATTTGGTCGGCAGAGGGCGTAGTAGTGGTGATCACAGTACTTCAACAGCCTCAGTTTTGCGCTAGCAGAGCGTAGCTTTTGACACTAACAGAACTGCAGTTGCGTTAACATTCTGTAAGTAGACATTCCGCTCACTTTGCGCGTAATTTGAAAATGTTGCAGTTCGCGATATTTACTTGTTATGTGTTGGCATCGAAGATTCTTTAAGACCTGTTTTCAGGTCGACAAAAAAGTTATCGATAGTTAAGTACTCCATATAAAAAATAGTGTAAAAGAGCTAGCGACATTTTTTTGGTTTAAAATGGCAAAGCTGAGTGTGCACTGTAAAGTAACTGTTAACTTATATGGATTTTTGGAACAGCTGTTGTCTTGACAGTGGCTATCGGCAATCCTCCTGTTGCAAGTCCAATTTCACAAAGTAAATTGGGAAGAAAAGATTAAATTAATGTAATCGGCAAGGCAAGAGTGTACTTATAAAGTCCGTACCATTTGTACTGTCAGCGGACCTTTTCATTTTGCATTTGTTTAGTTTGAACAAATGAAATATAATGCAATTCCGTGAGACATTTTTTTCGAACTGAAATCAAGAGATATTTCAGCCATAATTGGTTTAATTAGTGACAATAGTATTTTTATTAATAATCAACCGTTTCGATTCAAATCCACTGCGCTATTAAGCAGCATTTGCGGAGCAGCAACAAGAAGAGGAGCGTGAGTTCATATTTCAAAGGTCAAAGTTCAAAGGTCAAACATCAAAGGTCAAACTTCTAAGGTCAAATATCAAAGGGCAAACTTCAAAGGTCAAAGTTCATATTTCAAAGGTCAAAGCTCATATTTCAAAGGTCAAAGTTCAAACTTCAAAGTTCACGGTCAAAGTTCAAAGTCAGAGTTCAGGGTCAAAGTTCAAGGTCAAAGTTCAATGGCAAAGTTCAAGATCAATGTTCAAAGTCAGAGTTCAAGGACCACCCCGACCACCACACCCAGCAACGAACGCTGCGAGGCAAGGCAGAGAGAGAGAGACAGAGAGAGAGAAAGAGAGAGCATTTCATTAACAAGTTGATTGAAATTTGTATACTTTATAATGAAAACAACCCAGTTACTCAGTTATTCATTCCCTCAACCAGTTTAATATCTTTCATTTAAATCTCCAACTTCATGAACATTTTTGTGTTGGTTGTGTTTTTTTTTTATAATTCCATTTTTTTTGTAGTTGTTTCTTATCTACTCCCCAGACGCCGCCGAAAGCATGCAACAGTTCTGCCTTTGCATAATTCTCAGCGCCCACGCCATATCTTTGCCCCACTTCCTCTTCTACTGTTCATCGCCACGTGTTTTCATTGTGCCAAAAGTCTTCTTCATGTTTAACTAAATCTGCAAAAAAAAATAAATAAAAAGAAAGAGAGAAAAAGAATATATATATATGTATATAAGGAAAATATTGCATAAATAAAAAGTCTCAACGCATTCAAAGCTGCTACTTGGTTGGCGGAGGAGTTGGGCTTTGAGGCAGTGGCTTTTCACATTGACTCTGGCAACGCTGGCAGCCGGCGACTTTGGGTGTCAGGTGCAAATGCAGCTAGTGCAAATGAGGCAAATTTCAAAGTCAAGTTTACACCACGCAGCAAATGCTTTGTGCTCCAACGCGCGCTCGTTTTTTTCTCCTTCTCCTTCTCCATCTCTCTCTCGCTCTTCAACATGCCCTCCCCCCACTTTCTCTCTCACTCTCCCTCTCTCTCTCACTTCCAGTGCAAGCTGTCCTTGTAGCCAAAGGTAGTAGAGATCGTTAAAAAAAATAAAAAAATAAGAAAAACAAATGCAGTTTTGCAATCAAATTTACGATTCCTGCTTGCATATTTTTCTTAAATTTCATGTTAATTTCTGGCATAATACTATAAATACATACGAATTGCAAAGTGCTACTGAAAATGTGACCAGCATTGTATTAGCTACCGGCAAATGCGATGCGATGCGATGCGAAGCGATGCTCTTCAGGTTCTTTTTTCGTCACTGACTTTCCCACGCCTTTTATTACATATTTTTTTCCTCTCTCTCACTCTTATGCGCTCTTGCCTTATTTTAAATACATGTGATGGTCCTACAGAGAAAATATATATATATATCTATATATATATATATACATATATGTGTGTTTGTATTTGGGAGGGGAGAGGGTTTTGTTATCTGAAAGAAAAGTGCAAGAATTGTTCTAAATCTACTGGGAAGAAAGGAGGCGAAAAGTGAGAGTGCAAAAATAAAAAAAGCACCAACTAAAAGAAGGTTGCAAGTACAATGCAAAAAAAAGGATAAATGCACAAAGAAAAGAATGAATAGCAGCAGTAGCAGAGATAGACGAAGAAGAAGCAGAAAGTGTTTGAGCAATAATTGTCAAAGAACGTGCGAAAGCAAAACGACAAATATTTGAGCTGTAAGAGCTGTAATTTATGCATGTGTGCGTATTATCTATTCAGCATGTGTGTGTGTGTGTGTATGTGTGGTGTGTATACAACACACAACATCCACACACTACTCGTGTGTTTGTTGTTTTGTAATTGACGCAAAAGAAAACTTTCATTTGCCTTTTGTAATTACTTACTAACAGTTGCCAGTTGCATTAACAAGGCAAACCCAAAAAAAAAAACAGAAAAGGATATATGTGTGTTTGTGTGTGTGTGTGTATAATATATGTATGGATGCATGTATACACTCAAGCATTTACATACATACATACATACATAGCATGTATAGAGATGAACTTCTGAGTCGCTGTCACATTCATGCGCGAGTCCTGTAAGTCCTGCATACATACACATGCATATATGTACATACGTCAGCGCACACATATACACACATATGTGCTCTCACGCACACACACAAACACACACATGAGCAGCCGTTACAAATCGCCGGCGAGAGTCCAAAACTCATGTCGTACATATGTGTGCGTGTGTGTGCAAGTGTGTATAGGGGTGAAACGAGTTCCGTGGGCGTGGCCAAATATATGTATGTTATCCCGCATGTTGAGGCTTGCCTACGACATGTGCGTGCGAGCGAGATGCATGCAGTTTCACTTAAAATAACTCTCCCGAAATGCGTGTGACGATTGTTATGTGTGTGTATGTGTGTGTACGCATGTGTGCCAGTCAGTGTGCGTATGTGTGTGTGTGTGTGTGTTGGCCGCCTAACTGCTTCACTTTTGCTTATGCCCATGTAGTGCACATAACAGGACTCTGACAAGGATAACTGCGCATTGTAGATTCAAAATCAAATGTATGGTGATAGTCAGATTCTTATAAATTAGCCAAAATATGCTAAAAATGTTGTTGATTATTTATTTCTGTCTAGTTCTGGATCATATCTTAGCTCTAACAAATGTTCACATATTTATTATAGCACACTTGCCCAATCCTTTTTTTAGTTTTGTTGCAAAAAGTTGCCAATTTTAACCGCTTGTACTGAGCTAACGCATTTGGTCGGCAGAGGGCGTAGTAGTGGTGATCACAGTACTTCAACAGCCTCAGTTTTGCGCTAGCAGAGCGTAGCTTTTGACACTAACAGAACTGCAGTTGCGTTAACATTCTGTAAGTAGACATTCCGCTCACTTTGCGCGTAATTTGAAAATGTTGCAGTTCGCGATATTTACTTGTTATGTGTTGGCATCGAAGATTCTTTAAGACCTGTTTTCAGGTCGACAAAAAAGTTATCGATAGTTAAGTACTCCATATAAAAAATAGTGTAAAAGAGCTAGCGACATTTTTTTGGTTTAAAATGGCAAAGCTGAGTGTGCACTGTAAAGTAACTGTTAACTTATATGGATTTTTGGAACAGCTGTTGTCTTGACAGTGGCTATCGGCAATCCTCCTGTTGCAAGTCCAATTTCACAAAGTAAATTGGGAAGAAAAGATTAAATTAATGTAATCGGCAAGGCAAGAGTGTACTTATAAAGTCCGTACCATTTGTACTGTCAGCGGACCTTTTCATTTTGCATTTGTTTAGTTTGAACAAATGAAATATAATGCAATTCCGTGAGACATTTTTTCCGAACTGAAATCTATGCTTTTACGAGATGTTTCAGCCATAATTGGTTTAATTAGTGACAATATTATTTTTATTAATAATCAACCGTTTCGATTCAAATCCACTGTTTATCGAAATTTGTACAGCGCTATTAAGCAGCATTTGCGGAGCAGCAACAAGAAGAGAAGTGTGACCGTGCAACAGTTTATATCGTTATCGATATCGAGATTCTCAGCTGTAAAGATCAACATATTATTTTGATACCCACGTGCGCGCTCGGACGCCAAAATCAAGATGAACAATTTCCAGCCACTTAATATACGAAGATTTCAACAGAAGGCGCAGGTTGTCACACCGGACACAACCTACTGGAACCGATTAGACGTAAGCATTATATACAGTGTACAGATTGCCAAATTTAGTGTGATTTACATTTCCAAACATACTCCAAACACCCAACAAACAGAAACCGGAGCTGCTTAAGGAGCACACGACCATCGACTACATTGACTTCAGTCCGAGTGAGCCGGATAACTTTGTGCTGACATGTTCGGTGCGTGTGCAGATCTACCATCTGGTGACAAAGCTGGTCGTTAAGAACCTATCCAAGTTCCAAAAGACCGCATATGGAGCAACGTTCCGGCAGGACGGCCGCCTCTTGGCTGCCGGCGACGAGGAGGGTCACGTGAAGCTATTCGACACGAGCAGCCGGAATATACTGCGTCTATTCAAGGGGCACACGGCGCCTGTGCATCGTACATTCTTCACGGCGGACAAATTGCAGCTGGCCAGCTTTGCGGATGACAAATCGGTGCGACTGTGGGACGTGGGCAATGAGAAGCTGGTGCGGACATATGAAGATGCCCACAGCGATTATATACGTGCGGGTGCTACGCATCCGCAGGCCGGGCACATGTTCATCTCCGGCGGCTACGATGGCAAAGTCAATCTGTACGACACACGGGCACAAGAGTCAATAACCCAGACCCTGGATCACGGCAGTCCCGTCGAGTCCATGCTGTTCCTGCCCAACGGCTCCATATTCATAACTGCCGGCGGCACACAGGTGCGCGTCTGGGACTTGATAAGTGGATGCCGCCTGCTGACGACGATGTCGCAGCATCACAAGACCGTCACATGTCTGCGCCTGGGCTCCGACGGCCGGCGTCTATTATCTGGCGGCCTGGATCGTCATGTGAAGATCTATGATGTGGGCACGTATAAAACGGTGCACACCTTAACCTATCCCAATCCGATTGTTAGCTTGGGCGTCGCTGCGAAGGATCAGGCTGTCGTTGCCGGTATGGTTGATGGCCTGGTGTCCATCAAGCGCATGATTGTCGACAGCAAACCGAGTCACCTCAAACAGATCAAAGCCAGCCATCGACAGAAGCAACGCAATCGAATGGCGCGTCCCAACACAACGGCAACCGTGGATCATAGTGTCTCGGGTCGACGGCGAACGCCCCAGTTGGCGGTCTTCGAGCAGCATCTGCGTAAATACAACTACAAAAAGGCGCTGGACAGTGTCCTCGTGACGAAGAACACCGAAGATCATCCCGAGAAAATAGTAGCCGTAATCACCGAGCTACTGCATCGCAGCGCTCTGCGGGCGGCATTAACGAATCGAAATGAGGAAACACTAATCCAATTCATTGACTTCCTGTGCGCGCACATTGGCGAGGTGCGGTTCATGCGACCGCTTCTCAATGCCGCCAGCACCGTGATGGATGTGTTCGAGAACAATGTGATTGCGTACAGCAAAGAAATGCACGCGGCTCTCAAGCGACTGAGACGGACAATGCAGGCCGAGATTAGGCTAACAATGGAGCTGGCGCACCTGAAGGGCGCACTGGAGATGATTATCGAGGGGGCGCTCGACAACAATGAAGACGACGCCACCAAAGTTCGCTTCATACAACCCAAGGCGCCCAAAATGCACCCATCCCAGGCGGCCTCCAATTACGTAGTCATTGTCGATTAGAGATTAGACCATTAGATAGTTCATAATTGCTCCTAAACCTAGAATTCTATTCTATATATTTCTTTTGTGGCTTTCATTGATGCTTTTGCAGTTACCGCAAATGTTGTTAACTTTTTTTGCATCAGCATCTTACTATATATATATATATATATATATATATATATATGAGTATATCATTAGTAAGATGCTGATGCAAATAAATATATATATATACATATATATGTGTGTCATTGATTTCATACATACTTAAACTGAATGTGGTGTCAATTTCTATTTCATATTGTACAAAATTCAACTCGTAATAGTATTTAATAAAAAAAAAGCTTGCAACTTTTATGCTTGTGTTAAATATTTTCAGTTTTTACTCATCTATAAAGTTTTTATACACGTTGTGTTTGTTTGTTGCTTGGTTTCTTTTGTCGCATTTATTTTAATTGGTTGTTTTTGTTTTTCTTGTGTTTTGTTGCTGCTTCTGGTCCTGTTGCTACTTCTGCTGTGGTTCTGCTTCTGTTCCTGTTTCTGCTCCTGTTTTCTTTTCTCCTTTACTGAGACACTCTTCTGCGGGATGGGCAGGGGGCTGAATGCAGCCTCCTATGTGTGTGGTGTGTGCTGAGGGGGAGGTGTGGGTTTTAAAATGGGTGAGTGGCGACATTTGGCAAACGTCCGTTCCTTAATCTTAAAAAATAAGCTATCCTTAGCCGTCCTCCTTTGGCGGCGTGAACCAACCTAAAAAAAACAACAAACGTTAATATTAAATAAGTTTTAAGTCTATATATGTCTTACCATTCTTTTCGTGGATTTGCACTAACGATTTGAAGCTTTGCTGGGCCCGTGCTAAACTATATTGGCTCTGGCTAAGCGCCTATAGTAGATAGAGTAGATACAGGAATTTGAAATATAAGTTAATTGGTATAACGTATTTAATAGCATCCTTTACGTCGTCGTACCTTGGTAGCACCAAACTGTATACGCGCCTTGCCCTTGACCAATGTCGCGGCAATTTGCATAATCACGGCCTCGACCGTGTAGGCGGAACTCCAGCCTTGTTTGGTCAGCAGTTCCATACAAATGGCACCGCCGATGAGCACATAGCCACCTAAAGCCAATCAAAAGAATACAAAATAATCAATCAGTTACAATGACAATCAGGTAAATAATTGATGTATATATATATGGTGCCGCACCTGAGATGATTGGATGAACGACACGCACGAAGGGCGGCTCAAATGGATACGTCTTCTTGAATAGCATATTGAGCAGTATGTTATCTTTGCCCTCCTTCTCCTTCAGCTGCAACAGATCGCTGTGTAGAGGACTATCCGGATCCACAGACTTGAGGCGTATGTTCCACTCGTAAATCGAGTCGTTGACCAGTTCAATAGAGTACATGTTCTTCTTGAATGCATCTGATCGATAAATATCACGTAGTTCTTTCATCAGGCGATCGGCTGCCCGCACGCAACCAGACACTGAACCCTGCGCATCAAATAAATAGAGAACGACACAATTAGACAGTGAGTGAGAGAGAGAGAGGGACAAATACAGAGTACATTTCACGCTCGAAGAACAAAAGAAAGAATAATTATTACATTTGAAAAGAGATTGCATTCATTTTGGATATCAAATGAACTATTCAAATTTCTGCACAATTCTGTTTATAATTTATAATATCTACGCACTTTTAAATAGTCTTGTCTTTGACTTTGACGCAGTCTTTCTAGAGTTGCTAAATGTTCCACCTCCATGTCATCTTTCTGCTTGGAAGAAATGCCCAGTTAATATTTATATATGCATATATATATATAGATGCTTTAATACGCACTTTATTTGTACTACGGACATCATCCATTTCCAATGGTAGATCCTCATCGCCCTCGCTCTCCTGTTCGCTTTCGCCGATGGGATCCTCAATCTCTTCCTGATCGGAATCGGTCTCCTCATTGCCATGCGGCCCCGAGCCGCCCCCGCCGCCAGCAGAACGCTCCAAGCGTAACGGTGATGCGGAGGGCGGCGGCGTTTGCAGCGGCAGCGCCAAATTATCAATATCGGGTGGCAGTGGAACATTGTGTAGACGGCACAGCTCGCGCAGCAATATGCCAACCTGCCAACAACAACAACAACATTATTGATCGATTAGTTCCAAATGTGTGCGATACATATAGGACTGACGATTAATTACCTGATTAATCACGTGATTATCGCGACCATTTGTATTGCTAAGGATTTGCACGGCATTTGTAACGCTCGTCTCCTCGCTTTCGGCAAACCAAACTGGCGGCGACGACGGATACGTTTCCTGCAACAACAACAACAACAACATACATAAATAAATGATTAGCTATTGGTATATATATTTTGATGTACTCATTGAAATCTTAACAGCATTAAGGAAAATGATAAATGAGAATTAAATCTTCGACTTAAAAAAAGTTAACGAAAAGCAATCAACTTAGAATTAATATAAAAATATATAAATATAAAATGTTTAATATTTTGCTCTGCTGTGTTACGTGCGTGACTCCTTGAAATACCCATATGGTAAAAAGATATATGCATATGGACGTAAGTACACATTGATTTTTGAGAGTCTACGTGTATAATAACAAAAGCCAGGCCAGGCCGGGCCAGGCCAGCTGCGAGAGACAGCGTCAATGAAATTACACATATAACCTTTAATTAGATCGTTGAACCAGGGCAGAGTCAAAGTCAGAGCAGAGTCTGAGTTCGAACAGAGTGAATAAACGGAAAGATGGCAATAAAAAAAAGTAAAATATATAAAAACAAAAAAATGAAAAGAAAATGATGACAAAGTTGGTGGCAGGCAGGCCAGGCAGGCAACTGTTGTTTGAGCAGAGAATGCAGGGCAGTGAATCATAAATTATTGAAGCCCGCTGTCCGCAAGAATCGAACTCAGTAGTAACAACAACCAACAACCAACGACAACAACAACAACAACTTGAGACAACAGAGCAAAAGGTAAAAAGAGCTGAACAAAAAGTTGATTACAAATTTTCGCCAGCAGCTGAGCTAAGCTAAAGAGTGAGCGACAAACAGAGAGAGAGAGAGAGAGTAAGACAGAGAGCGAGTTCCACAACAATGAAAAGAGCAAAAGAGTGGGAGAGCTTGAAGAATAAACCAATGGAATTGTACCGCAAGACAACAACAGCCGAAGATCATCGAGCGCTTCGCTTCTTGCTGTTTGCTGTCGAAGTTATTTGTTTTGTTGTTGTTGTATTTGTATTTGGTTTGAAAGGGTGGCTTTCGTCAAGTGGAGCAGCGATTAATTGATCATGTTCACATTGTGATTGACCTGATTTCGATTGACAAACTGCTACTGCATAATCCTCTAGTTGTATTTACAAGAATTTCAAATGATTAGCGGCTATTAACGTGTACATTGGGGTAGGTACTTAAATATGTAAATATGTATTGTATGCCAAATGTGTATAGCTGTATATTATGTATATATGTGTGTATAAGCATGTATATAAATAGGCCTTAAGATTGCAGTAGTTTGTGTGTGCTTACTTACCGTTATGTTCGCATGAATGTCGTAACGCTTGCCATTCTTATCGATGAACCTACACAAAAGTTCGTCCACGCTGGAATTGAGTATCTGAAAGCGCTCGTGATTCTTCGGAAAGATTTTCTCCAGTGTTTTGATTTCTTGCTTTAGTGTGTTAAGGCACGCCATATTGGCGGGCAAGGCAATGTGACGACAAATAGTCGAGTCACGGATTCGCCTCCCACCGGAGCTCCGAGCTGCCCGCTTGAGGGTGGGGTGTTGGTGCTGGTGGTGGGAAGAGTAGTAGTTCGATAGGGAAGAGGAGCGGTAGCAAACTACTACTACCACAGAGGCGGCGGCACAGGTACACAGCACATGCACTCAATGCAACAGCAAGTGCTTAATTGTTTGTTTTGTATATTATTGCTTTCAATTTGATTATTATTATTGTTGTTTTTGTTGTTGTTGTTGTAGTGCGAGTCCCTTTATGCCTTTTGCTCGTTGTTTTGTGCGTCCGCTAGACAATAGATGGCGCTTGATGTCTTTCAGTCTCTCTGTATAATGCTGCTGCTCTCGGTTTTCGTTTTTATTGAATTTGTTATTGATTGTTGGAGGTAGATTATACTATATATGTATTATAATGTCAGGCAGCAGCAGGAGCAGGCAGTAAAATTAACAAAATCTTCGACGACAACGGCAGCAAAACCCACGCACACTTTAATTCCAATTCAAATATTGTTGACTTTTGACTGTTGGCTATTTATATTTGTATTTATATTGCTGTTGTTTGTTGTTGTTTGTTTTTAATGCACTTCTTTACTTGCAATTCAATGCAACTCTGAGCGCATACTCTGTCTGCGCCCCCACACACACTCGGCATGCGCCTCTCTCACCTTTTGACACGACGATTTTATTTGCTCTCCTTGCCCTCTTTGCTTTGCACCGTTTTTTGGCGAGTGTGTGCTGTGACTTTCAGTAATTTCCTATCTCTCTGTCTCTTTTGCGTCGGGTCCTTTGATTGGCTTTACTCGGCTACATAGTTGAAAACGATAACCGATAGATTTAAGCACGTGTTTCAGTTTCAATCGTAGCAAACAAAACAAAACAAAAAAATTAAATCACACACATACACACGCATTCATATGCAAAACTTATCCTGTCATTGTATGGGAAACTATTTTCTATAAATACTACAAAATAAAATACATTTTCATGTCAACATAAATGAAATTCAACTTTTACCAACTTTATTCTAGTATTATTTGTTACTTGATTTGACCCCACCCCAGCTAAAATGCCAATTCGAATAGGAATCAAGAGTTGCGCATTTCATGGCATACTTTCCTCCATACTTGAGCTAGTATATATATTTATATACATAAATCGGCTTAACATCTCTATGAGATTACTATTTGAATACTGTGCTGGTTCCGTTTTTTGGCGCCACTGTGCACGGTTTGAGCACGGTTAAAGCCCAAATTGATTGCGGACGCAGCTGTGAGCAAAGAGAGCCAAGAGAGCCCTCAAATTCCAGTGTTGCCCACCAGCTGCTGGACTGACAGGCTTAAGATAATTCAATGTGAAACATCCGTTCACAAACACACAACACATACACACACACACAGATGTGTTAGTAGACATGAACGTTTACATTGTCAACGAAACGGTATTGGCTTTAATAATAACATTTAAGATTTATCTATTGTGCATATGCATACAGTGTGTACGCCACACGCATACATATGTACATTCAGATATATACACACTAATACAGTAATTGACTTTTCAGCGTTGCTTTGCTGCCGCCGCCATGCTGCACTTTGTTTTAATCAATTTACCTTGTCCTGCACTTTACACATTCAAAACAGAAAGAGAGATAGAAAACGAAAAGAGCTCCTTTGTTTGCGTATACCACACACTCTCGCACACACACACATAAGCGACATGCACACACAGCACACAGACGCATTTTCGCATTGAACCCGTTCGCAATAAGTTCTATAGATATATATATTTATATATATATACACATACATACGTACATATGCACCTACATATACAGATAGCTTATACATCAAATTGAACCAACATAGTGACACAGTGTGGCAACTCCTACGACAATCATTATTACATTTACATTGCATTAAATTTACTAGCTGCTTTCATCGCTACCGCAATCCAATTCATATGCGATTTTCCAATTATTTGCTGCTAACTGTACAAGTTTCATCGCTTACACAATTTAAATGTATATATCTTGTTTCGAAGCAGATTATCTTAATTGGCAGGGATAAACGAGACAATAATAATAATAACCTAACTTAGGTAAATGATAGATTACAAGCTTAGTTCGATTTATTCTGATAGTACAAACAGTACGTAAGGTAAATTATTATTTTTTTTGTTTTGTTGTTTTGTTTTTCTTGTTTTTTGTTTTTTTCTCTTTCTCTTTTTGTTTTTTTTTTTTTATCAAGTATACACGATTTGCAGAAATTAACAGTGAACGGCGCAACGTTCACACATAAATAATGTTGAATGGCGGGTTCGAGTTGAATGCTTGCTGCTTCTGGTCCTGTTGCTACTTCTGCTTCTGCTCCTGTTTCTGCTAGTGTTTTCTTTTCTCCTTTACTGAGACACTCTTCTGCGGGATGGGCAGGGGGCTGAATGCAGCCTCCTATGTGTGTGGTGTGTGCTGAGGGGGAGGTGTGGGTTTTAAAATGGGTGAGTGGCGACATTTGGCAAACGTCCGTTCCTTAATCTTAAAAAATAAGCTATCCTTAGCCGTCCTCCTTTGGCGGCGTGAACCAACCTAAAAAAAACAACAAACGTTAATATTAAATAAGTTTTAAGTCTATATATGTCTTACCATTCTTTTCGTGGATTTGCACTAACGATTTGAAGCTTTGCTGGGCCCGTGCTAAACTATATTGGCTCTGGCTAAGCGCCTATAGTAGATAGAGTAGATACAGGAATTTGAAATATAAGTTAATTGGTATAACGTATTTAATAGCATCCTTTACGTCGTCGTACCTTGGTAGCACCAAACTGTATACGCGCCTTGCCCTTGACCAATGTCGCGGCAATTTGCATAATCACGGCCTCGACCGTGTAGGCGGAACTCCAGCCTTGTTTGGTCAGCAGTTCCATACAAATGGCACCGCCGATGAGCACATAGCCACCTAAAGCCAATCAAAAGAATACAAAATAATCAATCAGTTACAATGACAACCAGGTAAATAATTGATGTATATATATATGGTGCAGCACCTGAGATGATTGGATGAACGACACGCACGAAGGGCGGCTCAAATGGATACGTCTCCTTGAATAGTATATTGAGCAGTATGTTATCCTTGCCCTCCTTCTCCTTCAGCTGCAACAGATCGCTGTGTAGAGGACTATCCGGATCCACAGACTTGAGGCGTATGTTCCACTCGTAAATCGAGTCGTTGACCAGTTCAATAGAGTACATGTTCTTCTTGAATGCATCTGATCGATAAATATCACGTAGTTCTTTCATCAGGCGATCGGTTGCCTGCACGGAACCAGAAACTGAACCCTGCGCATCAAATAAATAGAGAACGACACAATTAGACAGTGAGTGAGAGAGAGAGAGGGACAAATACAGAGTACATTTCACGCTCGAAGAACAAAAGAAAGAATAATTATTACATTTGAAAAGAGATTGCATTCATTTTGGATATCAAATGAACTATTCAAATTTCTGCACAATTCTGTTTATAATTTATAATATCTACGCACTTTTAAATAGTCTTGTCTTTGACTTTGACGCAGTCTTTCTAGAGTTGCTAAATGTTCCACCTCCATGTCATCTTTCTGCTTGGAAGAAATGCCCAGTTAATATTTATATATGCATATATATATATAGATGCTTTAATACGCACTTTATTTGTACTACGGACATCATCCATTTCCAATGGTAGATCCTCATCGCCCTCGCTCTCCTGTTCGCTTTCGCCGATGGGATCCTCAATCTCTTCCTGATCGGAATCGGTCTCCTCATTGCCATGCGGCCCCGAGCCGCCCCCGCCGCCAGCAGAACGCTCCAAGCGTAACGGTGATGCGGAGGGCGGCGGCGTTTGCAGCGGCAGCGCCAAATTATCAATATCGGGTGGCAGTGGAACATTGTGTAGACGGCACAGCTCGCGCAGCAATATGCCAACCTGCCAACAACAACAACAACATTATTGATCGATTAGTTCCAAATGTGTGCGATACATATAGGACTGACGATTAATTACCTGATTAATCACGTGATTATCGCGACCATTTGTATTGCTAAGGATTTGCACGGCATTTGTAACGCTCGTCTCCTCGCTTTCGGCAAACCAAACTGGCGGCGACGACGGATACGTTTCCTGCAACAACAACAACAACAACATACATAAATAAATGATTAGCTATTGGTATATATATTTTGATGTACTCATTGAAATCTTAACAGCATTAAGGAAAATGATAAATGAGAATTAAATCTTCGACTTAAAAAAAGTTAACGAAAAGCAATCAACTTAGAATTAATATAAAAATATATAAATATAAAATGTTTAATATTTTGCTCTGCTGTGTTACGTGCGTGACTCCTTGAAATACCCATATGGTAAAAAGATATATGCATATGGACGTAAGTACACATTGATTTTTGAGAGTCTACGTGTATAATAACAAAAGCCAGGCCAGGCCGGGCCAGGCCAGCTGCGAGAGACAGCGTCAATGAAATTACACATATAACCTTTAATTAGATCGTTGAACCAGGGCAGAGTCAAAGTCAGAGCAGAGTCTGAGTTCGAACAGAGTGAATAAACGGAAAGATGGCAATAAAAAAAAGTAAAATATATAAAAACAAAAAAATGAAAAGAAAATGATGACAAAGTTGGTGGCAGGCAGGCCAGGCAGGCAACTGTTGTTTGAGCAGAGAATGCAGGGCAGTGAATCATAAATTATTGAAGCCCGCTGTCCGCAAGAATCGAACTCAGTAGTAACAACAACCAACAACCAACGACAACAACAACAACAACTTGAGACAACAGAGCAAAAGGTAAAAAGAGCTGAACAAAAAGTTGATTACAAATTTTCGCCAGCAGCTGAGCTAAGCTAAAGAGTGAGCGACAAACAGAGAGAGAGAGAGAGAGTAAGACAGAGAGCGAGTTCCACAACAATGAAAAGAGCAAAAGAGTGGGAGAGCTTGAAGAATAAACCAATGGAATTGTACCGCAAGACAACAACAGCCGAAGATCATCGAGCGCTTCGCTTCTTGCTGTTTGCTGTCGAAGTTATTTGTTTTGTTGTTGTTGTATTTGTATTTGGTTTGAAAGGGTGGCTTTCGTCAAGTGGAGCAGCGATTAATTGATCATGTTCACATTGTGATTGACCTGATTTCGATTGACAAACTGCTACTGCATAATCCTCTAGTTGTATTTACAAGAATTTCAAATGATTAGCGGCTATTAACGTGTACATTGGGGTAGGTACTTAAATATGTAAATATGTATTGTATGCCAAATGTGTATAGCTGTATATTATGTATATATGTGTGTATAAGCATGTATATAAATAGGCCTTAAGATTGCAGTAGTTTGTGTGTGCTTACTTACCGTTATGTTCGCATGAATGTCGTAACGCTTGCCATTCTTATCGATGAACCTACACAAAAGTTCGTCCACGCTGGAATTGAGTATCTGAAAGCGCTCGTGATTCTTCGGAAAGATTTTCTCCAGTGTTTTGATTTCTTGCTTTAGTGTGTTAAGGCACGCCATATTGGCGGGCAAGGCAATGTGACGACAAATAGTCGAGTCACGGATTCGCCTCCCACCGGAGCTCCGAGCTGCCCGCTTGAGGGTGGGGTGTTGGTGCTGGTGGTGGGAAGAGTAGTAGTTCGATAGGGAAGAGGAGCGGTAGCAAACTACTACTACCACAGAGGCGGCGGCACAGGTACACAGCACATGCACTCAATGCAACAGCAAGTGCTTAATTGTTTGTTTTGTATATTATTGCTTTCAATTTGATTATTATTATTGTTGTTTTTGTTGTTGTTGTTGTAGTGCGAGTCCCTTTATGCCTTTTGCTCGTTGTTTTGTGCGTCCGCTAGACAATAGATGGCGCTTGATGTCTTTCAGTCTCTCTGTATAATGCTGCTGCTCTCGGTTTTCGTTTTTATTGAATTTGTTATTGATTGTTGGAGGTAGATTATACTATATATGTATTATAATGTCAGGCAGCAGCAGCAGCAGGCAGTAAAATTAACAAAATCTTCGACGACAACGGCAGCAAAACCCACGCACACTTTAATTCCAATTCAAATATTGTTGACTTTTGACTGTTGGCTATTTATATTTGTATTTATATTGCTGTTGTTTGTTGTTGTTTGTTTTTAATGCACTTCTTTACTTGCAATTCAATGCAACTCTGAGCGCATACTCTGTCTGCGCCCCCACACACACTCGGCATGCGCCTCTCTCACCTTTTGACACGACGATTTTATTTGCTCTCCTTGCCCTCTTTGCTTTGCACCGTTTTTTGGCGAGTGTGTGCTGTGACTTTCAGTAATTTCCTATCTCTCTGTCTCTTTTGCGTCGGGTCCTTTGATTGGCTTTACTCGGCTACATAGTTGAAAACGATAACCGATAGATTTAAGCACGTGTTTCAGTTTCAATCGTAGCAAACAAAACAAAACAAAAAAATTAAATCACACACATACACACGCATTCATATGCAAAACTTATCCTGTCATTGTATGGGAAACTATTTTCTATAAATACTACAAAATAAAATACATTTTCATGTCAACATAAATGAAATTCAACTTTTACCAACTTTATTCTAGTATTATTTGTTACTTGATTTGACCCCACCCCAGCTAAAATGCCAATTCGAATAGGAATCAAGAGTTGCGCATTTCATGGCATACTTTCCTCCATACTTGAGCTAGTATATATATTTATATACATAAATCGGCTTAACATCTCTATGAGATTACTATTTGAATACTGTGCTGGTTCCGTTTTTTGGCGCCACTGTGCACGGTTTGAGCACGGTTAAAGCCCAAATTGATTGCGGACGCAGCTGTGAGCAAAGAGAGCCAAGAGAGCCCTCAAATTCCAGTGTTGCCCACCAGCTGCTGGACTGACAGGCTTAAGATAATTCAATGTGAAACATCCGTTCACAAACACACAACACATACACACACACACAGATGTGTTAGTAGACATGAACGTTTACATTGTCAACGAAACGGTATTGGCTTTAATAATAACATTTAAGATTTATCTATTGTGCATATGCATACAGTGTGGTGGCGTACACATACATATGTACATTCAGATATATACACACTAATACAGTAATTGACTTTTCAGCGTTGCTTTGCTGCCGCCGCCATGCTGCACTTTGTTTTATTCAATTTACCTTGTCCTGCACTTTACACATTCAAAACAGAAAGAGAGATAGAAAACGAAAAGAGCTCCTTTGTTTGCGTATACCACACTCTCGCACACACACACACATAAACGACATGCACAGACGGCACACAGACGCATTTTCACATTGAACCCGTGCGCAATAAGTTCTATATATATATATATATATATATTTATATATATATACACAAATGTACATATGCATGTATTCAAAACATAAAAGTAAAATAAGTAAATAACTAATAATAATAATAACAACAGCATTGACGGCTGCAAAGGCAAAAAGAGAAAAGTAAAAGAAAAAAAGCAACAATAAACACACGAATAGACACAAACAAACAAACGAACACATGAACGAACGAACACACACACACACACACAATAATAAAAAGAAACGTAGCCAGTCGCACGCCCGCTTGGCACCTTTACGACATCGTCAATTTGACTCCAGCGGACCGAACGACCTGCACTGCACTCCACTCCGACCGTCGGCTTGAAGCTGCGAAATTTTACTGAAAATCACTTTCGCCAGACAGGCGCCGTCGCCGTGCAAAGCAACTCACACAAATGTATATATGTACGTACATACATATATACGTACGCTATACAAATATACGTGCCGAAAGCAGCCACAACAGAATCAGTCAACGGAGCAACAATGACAATCGAAAGAAGTTATCGATGCGCTTACATATCGCTATCGAAAGAAGGAAATTCGCACTCTGCACTATCATCACACTCACACACACACATGAATATGTGTGAAAATACATACATATACATATTTATGCAGGGCAAATCTAATCGTCTAATGTAAAAATATGGATGGATATTGCCAATCGGTATCCTCCCCCCTCATTCCACCACTGCAACAGACACTTTTACACTCAAACTCCTATGACTGCTCTGCACATATATTTTTCCTGCGAACAAAATCAATTACCTGTCATATAAAATACATACATGAATTCATACATTCATCACAATCTCACAAAAACTTACATACATACGTACATAAATGGTATGTAGACACATTCATACGTTTACACTTTGTAGGCATTTACCAGAGCACAACATACATACATATAAATACATACAAGTATTTAGTGATGTGTGTAGATATTTTAAAGTTTTGCAAGACTGCACTAATTCGCCTTCGCCATATTTTTTGTGGCAATGGATTTAGTGTGTCGCTGCTATTTGTAATTGTATTTGTGTGGACGCGAATTGGCTTCTGGTTGTTGTTCTCGTTGTTTATAAGTGCTTATTGTTTTGTTGGAAGTTACAGAGTTCTGTACGTTAAGTTAAACGTGCACAGTTGTATCTTGAATTGATGGCTTTAATTACAAAATGCTCCCGAAACTCAGCAATCACGTAGGCGTGTAAAGTCTTCGGAATTGTAATCTATGTACATCGTCTTCCGCGAACGTCTGACGATATTTCTTGCGTAAGCAGTGTGACCAGATGTACTTGCCAATCATAGCCATAACTACCCGAATAATACCAAAGAGTAATCGGATTAATCATTCGTTTCAAAAAATAAAATGTGTAGTTATAGTTTCATTTAAATTTAAAAATAAAGGGTCTTGAAAATGTAGCAATATTTAGCTTATATTTATTTCCTGTTTGTTGCTGAATTGAAGCAATAGAAGTATCGCCAAGTATCGATAGATGCTGCAATTGGATTACTTTTTAGATGACAGTTGCTATCGATAATATTTGGTACATCAGCGTCAGCTGGTGCCACTTCTTTAACATTGTATGTATAAATACATATGTACATACATACATGTATAATGTATTTATGTAGATGCCTTTTTGAAATCTGGCCTTCAACTTTTCAACTGAACAACATAACACAAATAAGAAACTAATATATATATCGTATGTACAACAAATGCATTTCTAATGCAATATACAGTGTCTCGCAGCTTATTTCGGCAGTATCTAGCAAAAATTTTAAAGTGCTATAAAGTTTAAACAAAGAAACAAACGCAAAATGTTTAAATGTCAATTTGTTTTATGTTATATCACGTTTGAAAAGGAAACTTCAGTTTTCATTAAAATATTAATTAATTAACTAAAATTAGTCAAAAACTGAAAACTTATCCAAAATACAGGTCAAAGCTTATTTCAACAGTCTAGAGAAAAGTAACATATTTGGCGTATAAAAACTTAAATAAGGATGTTAATACTTAGTATGATATCCTTTAGCCTTAATAACTCCCCTTAACCTATTGTTCATGGAAGATACCAGCTTCCGGGTCGTTTCTGGACTGATTTTGCTCCACTCATCCAGCAGAGCATTTTTGAGATCGGATCTGTGATTCCTGATGTTATTTTCCAGCAGAGCCCACAAATTTTAAATTACATTTAAATCTGGAGACTGGGCCTGTGGAATTATCGTGTGGGGGCAGTTCCAGATATGCCAGGAGTGTACTAATCCGGACTTATGCTTGGCTTTTGTCCTGGTCGTTGTCGTGGTAGAACCGGAAAGTACGTCGGATTCCTAGCTTCTCGGCACTTTGGAGTAAATTTTCCTTTAATATATTGAAATACACACTCTTGTCCATTGTTGTTTCAAAAAACACCAAATTCCCGACGCCGGCTGCCGAGATACATGCCCATACCATGACACTTCCTCCGTCGTGCTTGACTGTTGCCTTTAGGATTTTGGGACTCAGCTCAGTATTGGACTGTCGCCACACATAATTTTGTCCGTCTGAGCCAAAAATGTTGAATTTGGACTCATCTTCAAATATGAATTTGTTCCAGAACACCAAATCCTTGTCCAAGTGGGTTTTGACGAATGCCATCCTAGTCCCTTTATTTTTGGCGCTTATAAAGGGCTTATTCCGTGGTACTTGGGCATTAAAGTCATGGTTGCGCAGAACCCGGCGCACAGATTCCACACTGCACTTTTGCCCCATTTCGTCCTCCATCTGTGGAGTCAGTTTTGGAGCCGATAGCTTGGCATTTTCCCTTATTTTCCTGATGATCCTCCGCTCCTCCTGTTCGGTGAAAATCTTGTTTGGTGCATTTCTGACCTTGTCCTGTATCCGATTTTCGTCGACGAAGTGCCGAATGATATTGAATACAGTTGTGGTACTTAGATTTACAATTTTAGCTATTTGGCGATATGAATATCCAATCCTGAAGTGTTCCAGGATCAGTTTCCGTTGTTCAATGGTAGTCCGCTTGCCCATAGTCCTTGTTGGCTGGTTGCACTCGAGATGCAGGATATAACTAATCTGACTACGAAGGATTGGTCTATTTATACCGAAAATAATCAACATTACATAAAAAATCCGGGTTTTATGGCACCCAGGTGTCCATAATGTCACTGTTGAAAATAAGCTGTGACCATAAATTAAGGTACTTTTTTACATAACGCGGCCCAGCCGGCGGGAAAACCCCAGTTTATGGGGGTCATATAGTCATTATGGTGGTTAATATATGTACCTGCCATAGGTCTTTGGAATTTTTGAAAAATATTGTATTATTAGTTTATGGCAGGCAATTAAAATTTTTGCTAGACACTGCCGAAATAAGCTGCGAGACACTGTAAGTTTTCTCGATTTTATTTTTTGAGCTTGTTTCCCAGCATGTTTTTTTATTTCACATTAAGGATACATTAAAATTTTTTTGTTTTTTTTTTTGGAGATGTGAGCACATGAATATAGATAAATGTATGTATGTGAGGGGAGTTTAAGTACTTCAAGTCTTTTATTTGTGTTTGTTTGTTTTTTTTATTTTTATTATTATTATGATTTAGATAATATATCCAGGCATATAGAATGAAGAACTTAAAGCACGACGGAATGAAAATTGATATCTCTTATACATTTCATTTAATTTCTTTAGTTGTAGATAGATTAAAATAATATAAGTTAACCCCGCCATTAGCTAGCTTGAACAAAATAATTCAAATAATTCAAAGAAAAGAAAGAAATACATTGAACGCTGTTTCTTTTTACTGCTGTTGTTGTTGTTCTTGTTGTGTGTGTGTTTTTGTGCACGGAATGCTTTGGGCCCCAATTTGTTGAGAGCTAACTAACCCCACGCCCACGCCCCGCCCAGCTTCCAACGTCAATTCTTTTGCATTTCCCACAGATCGTGAGCAAATTCGATTACACATTCCTCGATTACTCGCCCTCATTTATCACGTTTTCCAATCGATTGCCTAAGCACACAAATGATACAGCTCCACACCAGACCACACAACCCCAACCCCCTGTCTAATTGCATGCCTCATTTAATTTCGTCCTGCGTTCTGTGTGGCTCCTGCTGCTGTCGCATTCTCTTTCTCGCTCTCTCTCTATCTCTGTCCATCTCATTCGCTCCTTCTCTCTCTCTCTCTCTCTCTCTCTCTCTGTCTATGTCGCTAGCTTGTCACACTACTGAAAGTAATTTTAGAGTTCGCCATGTGGCGTATTGGCATCAGGAGTGGTGGGTGTTGGTGTCACCTGGTCATCCTCCACCTGCACCTCCGGCGCCTCAGCCTGGCCAGCGGTATTATCTTTGCTTTCGTCGTCGCTGCCGCTGGCGCTGCCTTGATCCGCCGCCGCTGGGTCCTCGTCGCCAGCAGTTTCAGTCTCTTTGGGCTTCTTCTCCTTGTCGGGCTTCACCTTGGGCTTCCAAATCTTGATTTTGTTTACCAAATATTTGACCTCGCGATCGAGCAGACCCATCTTATCGGTTAGATCCTTGACAGTTAACCGCACTGTGGCACTGCGACTGAGCTTCTTCTGGGCGGCGCTCTCGGTCTTAAGCCAGGCGTTTGTCTCGTCAATCACCTTGGCGAGCGTATCGATCTCCACCTGGGTGTAGACATCCTTTTCGGGATTTGTTTCTTTGGTGAGATTGCGTGCCGTTATTAGGAATTTCTCGGCGCCATCGATCATGCCTTTGAGCGCCTTGATCGCATCCGGACGCTCCTCATGCTCCCAGTGGCGTGAGAGGAATACATTGGAGAGTTTTTGCAATTGCATCAGCTTATCCTCGTATAGTTCCGCCTTGGGATTCTCCACATCCTCGTAGAGCCATTCGGCCAGTGTGCTGCATTCGGCCAGCAGTTTCTCCTTTTCGGCAGTCGTGGCACAATCCGCATATGCTTTCTCCTCCAGTTTCTGCTGCACCTCAATGATGTGCGATTCGAGGGCGTTGAATGCGGACTCCAGACGCACACGGTCCTCCTCAATCTTGTTGATGGACAGCAGTTTGGCCGCCGATGTATCGTAGCTGCTGCCACCAAGCGGTGGCGTGAAACGCAGCTCCGTCTTGTGCGCCACGGGTGTCTTGATGGTGACCAGTTTGATGGTCTCGTTTTTGGCATTCGCCTTGGCCTCATCATCATTGGGTTTGGTTGCAGCAGCAGCTGGATCATCGGATTTGTCCGCAGCCTTGCCACCAGCTGACGACTCCTCATCGGTGGACTCTGGATCGGGTGTGGCAGCCTCATCTCCATCGCCAGTTCCAGTTCCCGTTCCCGTTCCAGTGCCCGTTCCAGTGCCAGCATCCTCCTTTTCGGTCTCCTTGGTGAATAGCTTGCTGATGGTGCTGCCCAGTTTGGCCAGTGTGCTGTCCTCATCCAGTTCCTCGTCCAGTTTCTGCTTCTCATAAACGTACTCAACGCCCGTGCATTGGAAGATACCGGAATCATCCAGAAAGAAATAGGCCTTGATGCCCTTATTGTCCACCTGATCCTTCTTGGACTTCTCCAGCAGTTCCTTGACCTTCTGCAGCTGAACGCGTGTGATATTCAAGCTGCCAATGGCAGCGATGTCCTTCTCGCTATACCGATCCAAATCGCCGTAGTTCACATAGAAATCAAAGTCATCCGTGTGCTTATTGAATGTGATGACCTTCTTCTGTGGATACGGATTCATCATGGCGAACAGAGCGCGCTTCACCTGCTTGACGGCGGCACCATCGCCGGGATCACGCTCAAAGGACACTTGCAGCGGAAACAGGACCGCATCCTTGACAATAAACTTCTTCACCTTGAAGCCGGAGGACAAATCGGCCGCCTTGTAAACGGCACCCATTGAGGCCGACTCATCGGCATTGAGATTCTTGCCCAGGTCCTGTTTGATCAACTGCTTAATGGTCTCCTGGACGCGTGGCACACGTGTGCCGCCACCAAAGAGTATCACCTGTTGGATGACATCCAATGATAGACTGGATGTGGCAAGCGCATCCTCCAGTGGCTTGGTGATGCGAGGCCACAAATCAGAGCAGAGCTCTTCCAGTTTCTCACGCGACACCGACAGCTTAAAGTCATGATCCTCCAGCAGATTCTCGATCTGTGCAAAATGTTCGGTGTTCGCTGACAAAATGTTCTTCAAGCGACCCGCCTCCTTGAACAGCTTGGCCAGAGCACGAGGACTGCTGGTGACATCCGTTTTGGTCTTCTTCAGCGCATTGAACTCCTTGGCCATATAATCGCGCAATCGCAACTGAATCTCCAGTCCGCCGAGCGTGCGATCGTAGCCAACGCCGAGCACCTGAACCACCGGATTCGTCTCCTTGGTTACCTTATCCTTTACCAGCTGATAGCTGACCACCGCCGCGGATGTCTTGTAGGCGCCCATATCGTAAAATAGAAAATACTGTGCGGTCTCATTGAGCTCGACGCGATTGAAGACGCCATAATTGAGGGCAACAGCCGCATAGTCATTGATCAGCTGCAGCACCTTCAGATTGGCCAGCTGCGCCGCCACAAGCAGTGCCTCACGCTCCGCCTGACCAAAGAAGCCCGGCACGGTCAACACACACTCGGTGATCGCCTGCTGTGTCGATTCCTGGGCGAACTGTTTCGCTTTGACCAACATTTGGGCAACGAGCTCCTCCACGCTGAACTCCTCCGTGTCGCTCTTCTTGAACACAACCGTATTGCGCTCCTTGTCCCCAACGATGGTGTAGTACGGAAAGCGTTCTCTATGAAATCAAATTGAAACATTTCACGAGAACACATTATTATAAATCTTTTTGTGTGTGTTTTTATATATATTATATCTGATGAATATCTAAATCGAATTGATTTCTTGAAATTTGAAATGTGTAAATTCAGTATTTTAACTGGGATCTCTTTTTTTTTTTGGAATTGAATGAATTGGAATTGATGCATTTGAATGTGAACAATGATTTAAGTGATAAGTTGAAATTAAAATTTATGAAATTTAATTGCGATAGCTTTGCACATATGTGTTTGATTAACGATATCAGCAGCACTGTGGCCAGCCATATGCGTAAGTAGGGCACGTTTACAATAAATAAAATAAGTGCTAATTTTAGCATGACGTGGCCCAAACACGGTACCGAACTGAACTGAACTGAACTCACAGGCACAGCGTGCACAACACACGCGAACTCACCTATACAGATCGACAATGGGATTGTCGATGGTCTTGCCAAGCAGATCCAGCAGATAACCATAGGCGGCCGATGGATCGCGTATGCCAATCGTTTGTGCATCCTCGCCAAAGGTGCGCGTATTATCGCGAAAAGCGATTATGGCCGGCGTTTTGCGCTTGGACTCGCGATTCAGGGCGATTTCCATTGGTACGCCGGGCGATACGACGCCCACTTTCATCCACTCAGTGCCCAGATCGACGGACATTACGGCGGCCGCATCGCTGCCGGGCATATTGAATGCCATGATGCACAGCATCAGGCAGCCGGCGGCTGTTAACCAGCTGTGTCGTCTTTGGTTAAACACCATCATCATTGCAGAATCACTGTACAAAATCTATATATGAAATATAAACGAAAATCAGTTAAGTGCGAGCGAGAAAGAGCGAGAGAGAGTGAGAGCAATGTTGTGCCTCCTTATTCTGAGCACATTTCGTTTTCTTGCCAACGCAAGCAGCTGGTAGGCGAAACCTTTTAACGAGGTTTTTTTTGACTGACTTACGTATTGGTTTATTGTTTGTTGATGCTTCAGCGGTGACCACTGCCGGCAGCGACAACTATTGAATTGTACAGATAAGCACTTAACGTTTTTATTTGAATAAATGAAACTATGCAATTCCACATTAATTAAGTCTTGATAGCCCAGCTGAAAAGCCGCCTGTGTTCAGGTGTTGGGGTTACACGTAGAAGAAGAAGAAAACGTTGACGTGTTGATTTGGAACTAAACGCCAGATGTCGATAATAAATAAAAGTTATCGATTATACAGTGTGCTCAGATGTTTTTAGTTTACTGCACGAACAACAGATGGCGCCAGTTAACAGTGTTAATAGCTGTTAAATAACATTGTGACAACTTAAATATTTTTTGTTTTTAATTTGTTCGTTATGACTTAAAGTAAGTGCTCAGAATGATTTAGCATATGTTCTTTTACTTTATTTACTGCATTAAGTTAGTATGTATACAATCCTATATAAATACGTTTCACGGAATATTTTAATTGTTTTGCATATTCAGCATTTTCCACCCATATTAATCGAGTCAATAATATTTTATCTGTTCCACATTCTTCAGGCACACTGCTTAATCAGCACAGATTTAAATCAGAACAGATATTCAACCCACATAACTTGCAGCACCAACAACATGTATTCTCTCCGTACTCTATCCAACACAAAGTCTTTCAATTTCTACCCTTCTCTTTGCACTTTCTTTGGGAAAAGAAAATTGGAAAAAAAATCAAATTGTTATTAAGTGTATCCCATAGTCTTTAGGGTCAACTTCGGTTTTCTTTATTTGGATTCACAAAACTGGAACACTTCTGATTTCAACACAGTGGCACCAACTCAATGACATATATAAAATATCACGACAACCGATCGATATAAGCGAAAATGAAAGCCTTGCGAAATTTGGTTTTGTGGAGAATTAGGTTTTTTGCTGATTTGGGGTTTACCAGCTCATAAAAGATATAACCACCGAAATACAGTTTAGTTACTGGACACCGATTCGCAGACGAACATGAACGGAGCGCGCTTCTTAACATTTTTAATCATCGGCTGCCTGGTGGCACTTGTTCCGTCGGAGCAACTAGCAGCCAGCAACGAGCAACTCGACGAGTTCATCTTCCCCGACGAGAGCTTCGACGAACGCTACTCTCGCTCCTCGCAACGGATTCCACTGCAGGCTTACGGACCACCGATAATTTACAACTCTAAATCAAGCTACTCTGCTCCCGCCGCTCCAAGTTATTCAGCACCAAAGGCTCCCACATATTCAGCCCCCGCAGCTCCGAGCTATTCAGCGCCTGCTGCACCAAGCTATTCAGCGCCTGCTGCACCAAGTTATTCAGCACCTGCTGCACCAAGTTATTCAGCACCTGCTGCACCAAGCTATTCAGCGCCTGCTGCACCAAGTTATTCAGCACCTGCTGCACCAAGCTATTCAGCACCTGCCGCTCCAAGCTATTCAGCACCGGCTGCACCAAGCTATTCAGCACCTGCCGCTCCAAGCTATTCAGCGCCTGCTGCACCAAGTTATTCAGCACCTGCTGCTCCGAGCTATTCAGCACCGGCTGCACCAAGCTATTCAGCACCAGCTGCACCAAGCTATTCAGCACCTGCCGCTCCAAGCTATTCAGCGCCTGCTGCACCAAGTTATTCAGCACCTGCTGCACCAAGCTATTCAGCACCAGCTGCGCCAAGTTATTCAGCACCTAAGGGCCCCTCATATTCAGCACCAGCTCAAAGTTATTCAGCACCTGCCGCTCCAAGCTATTCAGAACCAGCTCAAAGTTATTCTGCACCAGCCTCTCCAAGCTATTCAGCACCAGCTCAAAGTTATTCTTCACCAGCCTCTCCAAGCTATTCAGCACCAGCTGCGCCAAGTTATTCAGCACCAGCCGCTCCGAGCTATTCAGCACCAGCTGCACCAAGCTATTCAGCACCAGCCGCTCCGAGCTATTCAGCACCTAAGGGCCCCTCATATTCAGCACCTGCCGCTCCAAGCTATTCAGCACCAGCTCAAAGTTATTCAGCACCTGCTGCTCCGAGCTATTCAGCACCAGCTGCGCCAAGTTATTCAGCACCAGCCGCTCCGAGCTATTCAGCACCAGCTGCACCAAGCTATTCAGCACCAGCCGCTCCGAGCTATTCAGCACCTAAGGGCCCCTCATATTCAGCACCTGCCGCTCCAAGCTATTCAGCACCAGCTCAAAGTTATTCAGCACCTGCTGCTCCGAGCTATTCAGCACCAGCTGCGCCAAGTTATTCAGCACCAGCCGCTCCGAGCTATTCAGCACCAGCTGCACCAAGCTATTCAGCACCAGCCGCTCCGAGCTATTCAGCACCTAAGGGCCCCTCATATTCAGCACCTGCCGATCCAAGCTATTCAGCACCAGCTCAAAGTTATTCAGCACCAGCTGCGCCAAGTTATTCAGCACCTAAGGGCCCCTCATATTCAGCACCTGCCGCCCCAAGCTATTCAGCACCAGCTCAAAGTTATTCAGCACCAGCCGCTCCAAGCTATTCAGCATCTAAGGGTCCCTCATATTCAGCACCTGCCGCTCCAAGCTATTCAGCACCAGCTCAAAGTTATTCAGCACCTGCCGCTCCAAGCTATTCAGCACCAGCTCAAAGTTATTCTGCACCAGCTGCTCCAAGCTATTCAGCACCAGCCGCTCCGAGCTATTCAGCACCTAAGGGTCCCTCATATTCAGCACCAGCTCAAAGTTATTCAGCACCTGCCGCCCCAAGCTATTCCGCACCTAAGGCTCCTGTGTATTCAGTTCCAGTTGCTCCTAGTTACTCTGCCCCTGCTGCTCCTAGTTATGCAGCTCCTAAAAGGCCAACATATTCAGCGCCAGTTGCACCCAGCTACGCAGCTCCCCCGGCTGCCGCATATGCAGCACCGAAGTCTGCTGGATACTCTGCACGCATGTTTAGTCCGATGCTGATGTCAGCGCGAACATCCAGCTATGGCCCGGCATCAGCTGGCTACGGAGGATCATCAATTCCGGCACCACCTTGCCCTACCACCTATCTGTTCAGCTGCAATAGCGTTTTTACACCGGCTCCTTGCAGTCAATGCTCAAAATATTGAAAGAAAATCGGTGGCCAAAATGAAATAAACTTGTTGATGACATACCTAATATTTGCATTTTAAAATTAATATAAATATAATCTGTTTTTAAGGTGTTTTAGAATGTTCCCAAAAAGAATGGATTGCATAACGTCTGAATTGGAAATCTATCGGTCGAAAAATAGAATAGAAACAAGTTTCAAGAGTCTTAGAAAATGCAAGTGACATATATATATATACATATATGTATATATATAGATTCTCAAATTTTACACTTTACTTTATTTCAGCATTGCTAATTATTTTGTGCTACATTTTTTTTTTATTATCGCAACAGTTGGTTGCTTCCGGTCCTCTTTGGCTCGTGCTTGTCGTGAAATTGTAGATAAAAAGCCATTTGATTTAATTATCATTTGATGACGACTCAACCAATGATGAAGAACGCACCAAGCTGCCTGCCTATCAGAGCGTATGATATATATGATATCATCAGACTTACCACCTTGGCAAGATGTCAATAGACAAATAAAAATGAATTCACCGATTGCCGTCTGCAGATCACAGCATTGCCAGGGGGGGTAGTCAATCCCGATTGGTGGTGGGCATGTCATATGTCCTTTATATACTCAATCTCAACTCAACTAAAGCAGAGTGAGAGGGAGAGAGACAAAGAGAGAGAGAGAGAGAGTGAGAGAAAGAGAACAAATGAAAGCAAGAGTACAAAACACTGCCAGATCATTGTGTAACCAAATAGCTCATCTCAGCACCTTATATGGTAACAGCATGTGCCAAATTACCTTTCAAGTTGGTTTCAATATTCATTTTTATATGCTCGATTTATTTGTGAATATTACTACAGCATCGATAAACTTCCTCGGAAGTAAATTTATTTTCCATTTGCAGTTATCGGAAATAGCAATAGATGCAATCAACTGGATGAAAGTGATTCAGAATTGAATGCAACGAAGTCAAAGAATCGATAACAATCGATTGACATTTCAGGAGTTTCTCGATATGTATTTGTCATCGCCGATATCATTAAGAACCGTGTTTACTCTCGATAACAAATAGTTTGAGTTCTTCTGATAAAAGCAGTGCTGTAGACCGAAACTGAAATAAATATTGATCATATTCGCTTTTTTTGTTCAATTTTATTTTTGCAAATTTTCTTGTCGTTTTACTAAGAATTATCACACTAAAAGCAACTCATAATAAATACGTACAATTATATATATATATATATATATATATATATGTATGGTGTATATAAGTTTTGTATGTTGTATATATTTTATATATATATATATATACATATATATTATCTGGAATATATATAGACATATGTATATATATATATATATATATATATATATATATAGTATATTTATATGTTTGTCTTTGTTCTTCTTTTGGGTGTTTTTTTTTTTTTTTTTTTTTTTTGTTGGTTTTTTGTTTGTATTTGTTGATTTTTATATTTTCTTCTATTTTACAAATATTTATTACTATATATTAATTTGTTCAATATTCTCTTTGCGGTCTATATATTCCATTAAAAAGCACTTATGTATCCTTACTTTCATTGCTATGTATAATCTTTGTTATCTAACGACTACGTGTATATATCTCCATAAATCGAAGCGTGTAGTTAAATCATCGTAAGTACTTATCAATCATGGTTGAACAGAAAACGCAAAATATGTTTATCTCTACAGCAGACGAGACGACACGTATCGATCGAGTAATCTTATCGTTATCAATAATAATGTGTTTTTTCTTTATGTTTTTCTTTTTTCTTTTTGTTTTTCTTTTTTCTTTTGTTGGTTGTTGGTTGTTCATTCATAGATAATTTATCAGTTTACTTAATAGAACTCAAGTAAATCTCCACAGAGAGCATCCCATTAAAGTGGTCCATAGATCAAGAGGTATTATTTTGTGTGTGTGTGTGTGTGTGTGTCTGTGTGTGTGTCTGTGTGTGCGTGTGTCTTGAAAGAAAATCATAAATACAACAGAAATGGAATAAATAACTAAACTGAACGTTTACACGCTACAAAAAGGAAGAAACTTATATGGAAGCCAATAATTAGTTGGATTGTTTTCATATTTGGTAGACATTCTTTCGATTCTTCATGCCCAATTACCGGGCAAGAAGCTGTTAACGGTTCAGTGACTAGCAGATACCCTGCATCTGCTCAAAAATTGCAAAAATAAATACAGGCATAGATACAGAAATATATAGATATATATATAGATATATCAAATATCTGAGATTCAATTGAGGTGAGCAAAGACTTTGTTGGAAAGCGAAAAAGCAACGAGTATCAAGTAATTTCCCATATATACCTTATATACAGGATAGACAGGAACTATCTAGTTTTGCAATAATGAAAATTATATATATATATATATATATATATTTACTCAATTTGCTGCTGACTGCTGCGGGGTATACAAAACCAAAGAGCTACATTTACAGTTTAAATCAATTTTTGTTGTCTTTGTATTGCTGCTGCTTTTTGGGTTTTTCTTTCATTTCATATATATATAAATATATATATATATATATATATATATATATATATATATATATATATTATTATTATTGTTATTATTTTTTATTATTTTTTTTTTTGATAGTTGTTTTATTTTGTGTCGAATACGGTTCAAGCTCATCGAGTCGTTGAACGGCAGCGGCATTGGCCACGAATAAAAACATACACGCCCCCAACCACCCGCCCCGCCCGCCGCAATCCACGCTTCCCTCTCTGCTGACTCTCTCTCTCTCTTTTCTGCACACGACTTGCTCAGCAAAACTCGAGTTTTTGGAAATTTGACATTCAAAATAGCGAAATGCAGTCACTCAACGAAACAGTCAATTTGCATTGTTTCTCTCGCTCGCTCTCTGCCTCTGCCCTCTCTCTCTCTCGCTCTCTGTCTTTGTCTCTATAGTCTCTCTAAGGTTGCTGTTTGTTGTTGTTCTTTTTGGTTTTTTTTTTTCATTCATTTCACATTTGACCCCCAAAAAGCAACATAACCCTGAGCCGGGTCGCACTACACGCAAAGTTCAACTAAGCAAATCGACCCAAAGCAAAATAATAATATTTTTGTCGTATCTTAACCAAGCGGATGATCTCATGGTAGTATCTCGTACAGCCCAAAAAACACAAAAACAAAAAACAACAAAAACAAAAAAACAAAAAACCAAAAAAATAAAAAACAAAACAAAAAAACACAAGGTTAACAGAGCTGCTTACGCATGCATTTCTAGTTGGAACCAAGCTTCATATTTGTCCATAGTCCGAAAAAAAAATAAAAACTAAAACTGATTGCAGAGATATAAACATATTTGAGTCTAGTTGATTCGACTGAAATCGAGCATTTTCGAGTTGAACAAATCAACGTTATTGAATCGATTTAAGCTTTGATTGTGTTTCCGTTTTGTATTTTGATTATCGATTGCCAACTGGGCAAAACATCAATATTTGATTCTGAATACGTTTTTTAGACTTTGTTTGTTTTGTGTACTTAAAAACAAAGATTCTGTTTTGTTTTTTTTGATTAAGTTGTTTTTCTTTTTGCGTTTAAGTTGCATTTGTTCACCAAAATTGGAATTGTGCAAAATCTAAAAATAAAATAAAAGGCATAATAAAAAGTAAAAATTCAATTTTATATTGGTATATAATTTATTTTTGTAGTAGAATTGCTCGAGGCATATGAAATATTAACTAAAATGGAAATAATTGTCATTCGCATATGACTTATATAATTCTACAATTTGTCTAGTTAAACACAAACAAAAAAAAATAATACATATTATTATAAGAAAGAAAAAAAGAAGAAGATGGGATCTATATATTAAAAGAGAAACTTATGCCTAAAGGTATAAACAAATAATGCGTAATCCCGCCAGATACTAAAAAGATAAGGTCAACTTAGGCTATGCGCTTGGTTTTTTGCCATTCATGTTTTTTTTTTCTTTCTTTCTTTCTTTCGATTCATATATTTGTTTTTCATATATGTATTTTTTTTTTTTTTTTGGCAATTAAGACAATATTACAAAATAATAATATTCATTATGCGTACAAGGTATGTATTTAATATACGATATATATATATATATATATACATATATATATATATATACTAGGCCTAGAAAATGGGCTGCTCGAGTTGTCGCCACATTCTTTGGAACGATGCGCCGCCAAAGTGTTTAATGTTTAATGTTTAAAAACAATATATTAATTAATTACATATTATGATTTAGTTGGTAATTGTAACAATTCTTGTTCTTCTTCTTCATCATCATCTTCTTTAATATGAATATTTTGTTTGTGTTTTATTTTTTTGTTTTTTTGTTTTTTTTTTTAATATATATATTTGTTTTTTTTTTTTTGGCGCTGCAACTGAAAACGAAAACGAAAACAAAACGAGGCAAAATACTACGACGAATAAAAAGAAACAAACAAAAGCTTACGATTTAGAGAGAAATGCGAAATAAAATCAATGAAAGCTACGAGCGAAAGTTGCAATGCAACGGACTGAGTGACAGCGAGAGCGAGAGCGGGAGAGGGAGCGCGCCAGCAAAAAGCTCTCTTAAGCTGCGGTCACGCTTAACCGATTGCAACTCTCTTAATCGCAACACTAATACTAAATGCTCCTCGTACGTAACATACATATGTGTTTTTGTATATGTATATGTATTTGTATCTGTATATGTATATATGTATATATGCACAATACACACATTATGTTTCTATATATGTAGATCATATGTTTTTGTTGTTTTCTTCTTTTTTTTTTGTTTTGTTTTTGTTTTTTTTTTTTTTTTTTTTGTATTTATATCTTAGCAAAACCTTAAATTTGTATCACAGCCTTTTTTTCGAAGAAAAAAATGTTATATTTATTTTTTTCATTTTAATTGATTTTCTTTTGTTTTTGCTTTTTGTTTTTGTTTTTGTTTGCCTTAAACTGTTTGTTGTTTGCCCAATTACTGTTTAATAGTTAAATACTTGTTTGTTTTTTATCTTTTCTTTTTTTTTTTTTTTTTGTTTGAATGCACTTTTGTTGGTTTTGTTGCTTTGTTGCGTCAATATTTTAAAAAATTCTAATTGCACTTTTTGTATATTTAAATTGCTATTTAATAATTCATTTGTTGTTCACATTTTGTTGTTTACAATTTGTTGTTGTTGTGCACAGAGTTTCTTACTTGTTCTTTGTTCTTGCTTCTTGCTGTTCTTGTTGTTTTTTTTTTGTTTTTGTTGTGTCTGTGTGTGTGTGTCTGTGTTTAAAAGTTTCGTAAATTAGCAAAAGACTTGTTTCTTCTTCTTCTCTTTAAAAAGGAAAATGAAACCGTTATTCAAGTTAAGGACCGCGCCCCCCTCCCCATTCCAGCCCAGCCATAGCCATAACCATGCAGCATGCACAATCACGAGCGCAATAAAAAGTAAACAAGAAAAGAAGAGAACAAGAAAACAGTGTGGCCGTTTCACATTGCATTGCATTGCATTGCAAGTGTGACCCACGATCACAGTTGAATTGAACGTGAAATGGTGAAATTTACTACAAATCATCACTGGCAGTGGATGCTTTCCAGTTGAATTTTTGTCTGATTCCGATTTTGATTTGGTATATGGTATATAGTCTATAAGCTGTTTTATATTGCGCTCTGCTGAATGCTGTGACTTCAACATGGCAGGGGGGAGGGTATAGAAAACTACCAGCTAAGGCCCAAAAATTGCCAATACTTATTTTACCGTTTTACCGTTCTCTTTCGTTTGGCTTCTGACTAGGAGAACAAAATCTTTTTGTTTTTGCATTTGTTTTTTTTTCCGTTTTGTTTCTCTTCTTTTTTTTTTGTTTTCAGTTGTTCTTTTCTGTTAGAAGTACCGATCTAACAAATTTAAAGCCCACTCTTTAAGGAAGGGGGTGAGGGGGTTGAGGGGTGGACAACAACTACAACATTCAATCGTGGAAAATCTTAACGAGAAAACCACGTCTGGCTGACTGGGGGAAATGATGGAAATGAGCCTGAGCCGCCAACAAACTTTTAGACTGGCCACTGGGCCACATTAATATGGATAATTAACAATGTTAACAATGACATGCCGAAGAGTGTGTGGACGATGATCGTATGTGCATCGCATTGGGGCATGGATTTATCAAAACGATATTGATCGGGATCAAAGAATGATCCATGCAACAATAATTTTATATAATTCTATTGCAATGCATTCAAACTTATTATCAATTATTTATCAACAATCAATATCAATGATTAAAAAAAAATATCAAACAAAAAAAAAAAACAAATTAAATTTAATTAAAATGAAATTCATTGGCTGGGTAAAGCGACTATTTGAGAATAGCGGCATTAACTTAAAGTGTGGAATGCATGTGGTGCAAAACATGTATGTGGAATTTAAGTTAAGTTTAGTTCATTTAAGTTGAGTTGATTTGATTTGATTTGATTTGAGTTGAGCTGAGTTAAATTAAGTTTAGCTAAGCGCGACGATCGCAATTCGATGCTGAATGCCGACTGCTTCTCTTCAGTTTTTTGCGGTTGGTTCCTATTTTCATTTCGATTTTGTTTTTAAAAGCTTAAAAAAATAACAGTAAATTGTCGCCTTACCCAACGGGGCTCTTTGACTTGCGCTCTTCTCTTTGTTACGACTCTTTCCTTTGCTTTAACTTTCTCTTTAGCTGTCTGTCTGTCTGTCTGTCTGTTTGTCTCTGTCTCTCTCTCTCTCTCTGTCTCTGTCTATTTACTTTGATGTATGCGTTGTTATCACTCTGCTTCTTGATTTGATTTGATATTTATGTTTTGCATTTTTCGTTTTGACTACAAATTCTTTGATTTTTGTTATGTGTGTGTTTGTTGTGTATGTGTGTGTGTTGGTCTGTATGTGTGTTTGTTGGGTATTTCTTTCTTCGCTTCAATCCTTAATATGAAAAAAAACAAACTGTTCTAAAAGAAAACTTTTGTACAAAATGCGAGACATATTTTGTGTGTGTGTGTGTTTGGTGTGTGTGTGTGTTTGGTGTGTGTGTGTGTTTCGTGTGTGTGTTTCGTGAGTGAGTGTGTGTGTGTTTCGTGTGTGTGTGTGTGTGTTTGGTGTGTGTGTGTTTTGTGTGTGTGTGTTTTGTGTGTGTGTGTTTGATGTGTGTATGGGTCAGTTACACAGTTGTTTATATTATTGATGTAATACTGTAACCAAACATATCCCATATCCCCCATCCTATCCCTTTCCAACACACACCACACACACTTACACTTACACACCCACCCCACCCCAGCCCCCGTCGCCTACCCATTCGATTGGTCTGGGCCACGAGCCCAAAGCCTTGCCTTGGTCACTTAAGTGTAAAGCTTACGATTTAAAGTCTTATGCATAAAATTAGCGCTAAGTTTAAGTCCTAAAAAAAAAAAAAAACTCTTTGCTCTTTGTCTTGTGTAATTGTAAATGTTTTTGTTGTTTGTTTGTTTGTTGCTTGTTGCTTTTAGGCCAATTTGTGGTTTTTCTTTTCTTTTTTCTTTTTTTTTTTGCTTGTTTTTGTTTTGTTTGTGTCCCTGTTTTGTTTTGAGGGGTGGTGATTGCTTGCGTGGGGGGCGGTGCTGGATTGAGTGATGGAGGCACCTGTGCCTGCTTGCCTGCCTGTGCCTGCTCGCTCTTCCAATCCGCTGCCAATCCGCCGCCAATCGGCCAATCATCCACCAGTTATCCAATGTTCGCCGACGCCGCTTACTGATACCTTCATGTCTCCAGAGATGTGACAACGAGATTGTGAAAAACGCTCGCCGATTCGCTGAGCATCGCTGCCTGGCCGCATGAATCGCTTGGATTTGGACTGGACGGACTGGGCGTGCCTAGACGCAGTGCATCCATGATGACCTCAAAGTCCTTCTGATTCTGATTCATATCAAAGTCAACCAAATGATCCACCAAATGATCCGTGCAGGCGTTCAACTTGACACGCTTATTGCTGTTGCCGACGACGACGCCGCTGCTGCCGCCGCTGCTGTTGCTGCTGCAACTCATCAAATCGCCAGTAATGTTGCCGGCGCCCGCACCGATCACAACAACATCCAACGGACAATCCTCAATCGCCGAAATGAGACGCTGCGGCGGTATATAGAACTGTGAGAGTGCCTCTCTCACCAAACGATCGCTCTCATCTTCGCTGCTGCTGATGCTGCCGATGCTGTTGATGCTGTTGATGCTGTTGCAGATGCTGATGCTGTTGCTGTTGCAGTTGTTGGTGCGCATCCGTTTTCGTGACGCTGACAGCGCTGCCTTCTCCAGTTGCTCGGCACCCTGCGTTATCTCGGGATCGATCAGTGGCATCGGTGCATTTATTGCGCTCAGCTCACGATCGAGTATCTCCAGATCGTTGACCAGATTGCTATTCGATAGATGGCGCTTGCGTGCAGCTATTAACGAGGATACCGCTGAAGAGTTGTTGTTGTTGTTAATGTTGTTGTTGTTGTTGCTGACACGCGGCAACTGATGATTCTCAATGGAGCAAATGGTGCGTGAGCCATTGTTGTTGTTGTTATTATTATTACTGTTGTTGTTGTTGTTGTTGTTGATGTTGTTGTTCATTGGCTTGGCATCGTCCATATTGGTCTGGAAGAGGTTCTCACGTGCCAATTCTGCGCTGCTGTTTTCGGTTCTGTGCCACGCACCACAAACAAACCGAGAGAGGCGTACCGAGAAAGAGAGAGAAAGTGGTAGGGAAAGTTAGTTGTGTTTTCTTCTTCTTTTCTCTGTTGTTGTTGTTATTGTTGTTGTGAAAAGGCCTTCGACAAAGCGACATAAGAGGTAAACACGAGAAAAACTTGTGCAACGGTAAATAAAATATAGATAACAATTTAAAGATAAGAAAATATATCGATAACTTGTAATTGTTACTGGAATCTTTGTGATCCTCTATATGTCCCTAGCTTAAATTGATGTTATCGATAACATCGATGGCTTGTAATTGTGGCTTGAATCGGTGTGACTTGCTGCGTCCTTAGCTTAAATTGATGTTATCGATAACATGCCGTTTAAAATGTAATACACAAATACCACTGCTGTAACGAACAAGGATGTGAACCAGTTGTTTTGGCTGGCATTTTGATATCGATATCTTTGTTTTCGATAACAAGAATAACTGTTGTTCATTTGCCGCACACACGAAATGAATGCCCAATTTGTCAGCGGCACCATTCTATATTTCGATAACATATCGATAACAATTTTTTAGCTCATATGCACACACAAATTTCGATATGTTATCGCTGACGCAATCAAATAATCATAAATATTTACATATAATAAATCCGATAAATGTGTATGTATGTGTGTATGTATGTATGCAAATGTGTGTGGGTGTGTGTATGTGTGTGTGTGTGTATGCAGATGTAACGATGTCAGGCTGATTTACAAGCCAAGTACGCTGCTCGTTTGTTGTTCGTGGGTCGCACTTTAATTAACTGGGCCAACTGTGCGCCGTTTGCTGCTTGGCGGCGGCTGACGGCTGGCGGCCAGCAGCGTAGTAAATTTCAGCTAATTTCTCTTTCAATAAAAGCGCAACCCAACTCCCCCTCCACCTCCCCCTCCCCTACCACAGTCCACCCAACCCCATCCACTCTACCTTCCGCCGAGTACAGAGTGTCTTTTGTGTTCAGCCAATATGCCAAAGCATTTGAAGAAGCAACAACAGCAACAACAAAATGCGAATTAAGTCAGCAAAGGTATGTTAAAGAAGAAGACACAGCCATCAAAAGAGTGGGACGCAGTCAAAGACGAACGACGAACGACAGTAGACAGAAGACGAACGACAGACAGGCGGACAGACGAAAACAGCGACGGCAACGCATTAAGACGCGCAACTGAGCATGTCAATGTTAACTATTAAAGCAGAAAAGAGCAACAAACACACAAACAGAAGCGCGCACACACACACACACACATCGCTGACAAGAATGGCATGGGCAAGGTGCACGCTGGGCGGCAGAGGAGGGATGAGAAAAATAAAAAGCGAAAGTACGTAGGAATCTGTACAACAACAAAAATCAAAACGAAACTGCGAAGAAGAAGCAGCAATAAATCGCGCGCTCCAGAGAGATTTACAGAAAGAAAGAAAAAATCAAAAACCAGAAAGCGTACAACAACAACAACAGCAACAACAAGCACAAACACCAAGCGACGTGCACAAAGAGAGCAAAAACAAAACAGAGCAAAGCACAAATAACGAAAAAAAAAAAAGTGTGTTAGTTTAGTTGTTGCTATTATTGCCCGTTGAGTGTGTTAACTTGCCGTTAACTTGAATTATGATGGACAGAAATGGGAGCAACGACAGCAAAAGCAGAGGCAAAAAGGTAAGCAGCAAAATAGCAGCAGCACTGACCAGACCAAAAACAAAAAACAAAAGAAGTAAAGAAAAAAAAACGAAATAACTAAATTGAAGTTGCCAACAGGCAAGGCAGCAGCAGAAGCAGCAGCAGAAGCAACAGCAGCAGCAGCGAGGGCAGCAGCGCAGTCAGAGCCAAAGCGTAGCAAATGCAGCGCCAGTCATTGCACAAGTGACCCCAAAAATAAAAGTTGCCAGCGGCAAATTGTTTGCTCTCTGTCTGTCTGTGTGACTGTGTGTCTGTCATGCTCAAGTGCTTTTTCCCTCATACTACATGCACATTATGTAAAAAAAAAACACATAATATGCCAAGAAGCTTTAAAGCTCAACTCACAACAAGCAGCAAGCATTAGAATTAATTATCACATATCAGCGACAACAACTGCTGCGAGCGCTTTGCTTGCTCTGCTCTGCGGATCACCAAATGTAAAAGACGCAAAGCTTTGATTTTCACCACTCGACAAACACATGACGACATCAAAGCGCGCCCAAAGCTCACACTCGAATGCTCTTTCAGTTCTTCTTTGACAACAGCATCAGCAGCAGCAGTATCAGCAATTAATGGCAATAAAAACGTTTGTCAATGTTTGAAACGTCGCGCGCTGACATTGAGCAGAGGCAGAGGCAGAGGCAGCGGCCGAGGCGACCACACACTGCATGCGTGCGAGGGAGTCGGACTAAGAGTGAGAGAGCTCGAGAGAGTCGTCACTTGTATGCGTGCGTGCGTGCGTGCGTGCGTGCGTGTGCGTATGCGTGCTTGCTTGCCTGCATTTGCGTTTGCCTTTGCATGGCATGCGACCGATAAGCAAGCGGTATTGTCCACTCTAAAAGTAGCTAGCAGCTAGCAGCTTTTTTTCTCTCTCTCTTTTGTCTTATCTGTGTTTTCGTTTTGCGCACGTTTTCAATGGTCCGTGGCCGTGATGATGGTGGTGAAATATGTCGCTGTATGTATGTATGTAAGTGTATGTGTGTGTCTGTTTGTGTTTGTGGTTGTGTGTGTATTTAATAGGGGAACTCCAAAAGCACTCAATTCATATATGAGAATTGGAGCATATTAAGCATTTCACCTGCCTCTGACATATTGGATCCAGCTATTGACAGATTATCGCACACGAAACTTGATGCTATCCTTCTTACAAACATTTATAATACACACGCATACACATATACAACCCGAAGACTGCAAAAATGAAAAAGAGGATAGCAAAAAAATATATACATGTATATAAAAAAAGCAGCACAAGTTGAGGAAAATGTCACACAATCGAACAAGTGCAAGCAAAGGGGGGCAAAAAAAGGGAAAACCGCTACGTCAAAGTACGAGCAGAAGCAGCAGCAAAAGCAACAGCGGAAAGTCGCGAATATGTAGGACGATGAGGCGCATTTGTCGTTGTTGTTCTTGTTGGTGCGCTGTTTGGGGTCGTTTTGGAGCCGCCGCAGGAGGCGTATGTCAGAGACAACTTCATTTGCTAAGCCCGAGGGGGTGTGTGTGAAGGAAGGGGGGGTGCCAAAACCGATTCAAGCTAAACACAACCCCACTAGCAACCCTCTCTCTCTCCTCTCTCTTTGCATCGTTTCGTTTCGCTTCGTGTAATATGCTGGCCATGCAAATTGAATTTGAAAGCGACTTTAAAGAGCACACACACAGACACAGCCACACACATATCGCTGCTGGTGCTGCAAATGCCCCGTTAACTTTGCGAATAGTGTGCACTAGTTCACGTAGTCTACAACTACCTCACTCACCCCTCTCTCTTCCTCTTTCTCTCATTCGCTCATTCTTTTCTTTTATTTTTGCTTATCAGCCATTTAGTGCTGTTTATGCCTGACACTGACTGATAAGCAATTACAAATGGCAGCAAGAATTTAAGCGAGCATTTTACACATACAACACAAAATCGAAAAAATTGAATAATAATACGTGTTTATCTACTTCAGCATCTATCTTTCTTTCCTTCTTCTATCTATCTTTCTATCTATGTATCTACACAAATCGCCAATTCGATATTCCCGACAAATATCTGTGTATAAAAACTAGCTGTGCACGAATCAATCTCTTTCAAATATTTCAATTTGTTAGAAGCGAATTCAGCTGAAAAAATCATTTAAAATTTAACTGTTATCGCTTCTATGTAAATACACACATACATATGTATATTGTAGGCAACAAAAAAATGCATCGATCAAGTGAAGAAACAGCAACAACAACAACAAGCGCTGCTGTATTGTAATTGTATAATCTAATTGTTCTACATATTTTAAATGCGCGCCCAGACAACACTCGAAATGCAAATGGCGCACGCCCCAAGTTCCGCCTCTATATATATATATATATATATATGTATATATATGTATATATATATATATATATATATATATATATATATATATATATGTGTGTGTGGGCGTATTTGTAAAGTAGGCAATCGCTGCTAGTGCTGCAATCGTTACCAAATAGATGAGATGCTCAACAACAGCAACAAAGACAAGATAACAGAAAACTATAAAAACGTCGCCGCAGTCGCGAATTATTACGATGCCGCAAAATGGGGCGGTGGGTTACAAAATGTGTGCACAAAGAGCAAAAGCAAGCAAAGAAAATAAAAAATACAAAAAAAAGCCAACTACACCAAGAAAGTGAGCGAACGTCTCTCTTTGGCTGTACGTACGTGTGTGTGTTTGAGTAGGTTAAAGAGAGGGCGGTCGGCGAGAAGAGAGTGCTTAGCGCAAAGATGCGGTAAACAATTGAATAAGCGTTGATTTTTTTCTTTTGTATTTTGTTAAATGCAATTTTAATGAAAACAATATATGTATGTATGTAAATACCAAATGCATTACGATAACATTTATTCACATTCATACACACACACATATGTACATACATACTTGTGTACATATTGTCATTTTCTTTTATGAATTTCACCCGTATGCAGCATTAGGCGCTTGATTTTCTACTTTTTTCCTTTTCTTTTAATTAAATTATCGATTGCTGCATGACAACTTTAAAGTAATAAGCACATGCATACATACATATACACACACATGCTTTAACATGCATACATATGTAACTCGATGCACATACATACATACATACATACATACTTATGTATTTATGTATGCAAGCGTCTCGCTCGCTGGTGAAAACATGTCAAACTAAGCAAAACGAAGCAAAAACGGAAACACAGCACACGAAACGGCAACACAGACAGAAGAAGCAGCAGCAGTAGCAGCAGCGTCAGCGTCAACGCCGACGTCAACAGCGACAGCAGCAACCAACTCTCTGACAAGAAGAAGCGAATCAAAAGCTAAAAGCAAAAACTGCGATTGCGATGAATTAAGTTTTTGGCTGCGCGCAAAACACAAAAAACAAAAATAAAAAAAAAGAGCTTCAGGTGTGTGTGTGAGTGTAGTAACGGCATTTTTATTTGTTTTCTCTCCTTGGAGGCAGCAGCAGGCGCACACGCTGAGACAAGTGAAACAAAGGAAGCGCAACAGTAGCATTAGCAGCAGCAGCATAAGCAAAAAGAAAGCCAAAGCGACGTCAAATCATCGCCTATCGAGTTAGATGATGATAGATGACAGTTCAAACAAAGAAGACGGGGGAGGTGGATGTGGGGCTGACATGCGTACGTCAAAATCAAGTACAACGTAACAATATTAACGGTAAAGCAAATGGCAAAGCCAGCAAAACAAAATACAATTAAATAGATTGCTGCAAAAGCAGCACAAGAAGCACAAAAACAAAGAACTACAAAAAATAAAACTGAACATCAGCAACAACAACAACAGCATTAGAAATTCTGGGCTGTGGCGTACAGTGCACAGTGGGCCAAACTATTTAACGGCAAACGCCAGCAGCAGCAGACGGACAAAGAGAAAGAAAAAATTAAAAACAAAAAAAATACCCCCACTCTCCGTCTCCACATCTTAAATACACCTACATACATATGTACAAAGCCGTAACCAGTGATTCATTTATTTTCAAAAATAATGGCAGCTAGCTAAATGTATTTCATTATCATCAGCAATTCCATTGAACAATTAAAATTTGTTTATTGAAGACAGCTAAAAATGCATATCAGTAGTGCATATTGTCGGAGGAGCCCGTCAGGTCACCGATAACGATTAATAGTCACCGATTAACACTCATCGATCCGCATATTAAAAAGCACACACAACTAAACAATACAAATTATCACATTATACACACATACATATGTGCATGCATGTATATCGGCCATGCCGTCTGTTGCCGCAGGCCTGTTCGCAACACATACATACACACGCACACACATGCAAAGAGAGAGCACTCGCAGTCAAAGCATTTGGCTTGCCAGAAAGAAAGAGAGTGAGAGAGAGGGAAGAGAGCGCAGAAAAGAGCATTAAAAATGCATTTGAAAACATAACAACAGCTGCTAATGGATCACCAATCCATGCGCAATTTCGATTTGCACTCGCACACACACACAATAAATATATGCGTACTTTTTTTCAAGATCAGATTAACTACATTTTCTTTTTCTTATGTTTTTGTTCTTTCGTTAAATTTGGACACAGTTGATATTTGGAGTTAAAATTTTATAACTCTTTCGACTTTGCACGGCTATAAATAATTATACACACACACACACACAGAAATGAACATGTTAGTGTCGCTGTGTGTTGTTTGCAAAAGTCTGAAGGTTTTAGTTGCGTTTTGTGTGTTGTTGTTGTTGCTGCTGTTGTTGGCATGTGCTATGCTTGTGGTATTTTATGCATACATATATGTATATGTATGCGTGCGTGTGTGCTTGTGCCATTGTGTACATGTGCCGTCGTGTATGGAGACTCTAGAGGTGCACACAACAACAACAACAGCGCCGCTTGCTATCATCGCTCTTTTATGTTGTTGCTGCTGCTGCTGCTGCTGCTGCTGTTATGGTTGCTTTTTGTTGCAAGTGGAACGTGATTATTTCAACGAGCGCAACGCTTTTTAGCACACACACACAAACACATGCATAAGTCTACTTGTTGTGTGTGTGTATGTTTTTTTTCTACAGCTTTGCTTTGATTTCTTTTGGTTTTTATTTTTGCCTTTGTTGCTGGCTGTAATCGCGCTATCTGCGAAGGTTGTTCCCCACTCTTGTTGCTGTTGTTGTTGTTGCTGCTGCTGCTTGATTTTTAAGCAATTTTTTTTTCGCTTTTCGTTTTTTGTTTGTGTTTTGTTTTTTGTTCCTGTCTTTTATTTTGAAATTTGTTTGGCCGCAAGACGGCAAATAACTTGATTATTATTGAATATCGGGCGATGATGCGATAATTGTGATCGACTTGTGCGCCAACTGTTATCGAATTTTCTATTCATATAAATATGTATGTGTGTTTGTGTGTTGGCAAGTGCCTATTACTTTTTCTAGTTATTGTTGTTGTTGTTGTTGGTGTCTCCCATCTTTATACACGCCCTTCTTTAGCGACGGCCAAACAATTTTCGTTGGCTCGCCTGCTGTTATAGCTGGCATTTCTGTGCCTGTGTCTGTATGTGTGTTTTTTTCTTCTCTAGTTTGCTGCCTCCTCGTTTTGTTGTAGTTTGTGTCGTTTCTGTTTCTGTGTTGTGGACTGCGCTGCTCTGCTCTGCCCGCTGTTGTTGTTGCTGTTGCTGTTGTTTAATGTCTCTTGAGTATCTTTGCTTTGCTTCGTTTTGTTTTGTTTGACTTTTGCTTTGCGATTGGCCTGAATGCAACCGAAAGAAATACTACGGTGAGCATTCACTATAATGAACGAACTAATTGAGGCGCAGTTAGTTGACAACACCCCCCAAACACACTTACCCCACTCCCCAACATAGCGTATATATATATATATATATATATATATATATATATATATATATATATATATATATATATATATATGTGTGTGTGTGTGTGTATGTGTCTAGCAACACTTTGTACATTTTAGCGAGTGCTTACTGTGTCTATCTGCTGTTACTGTTCTTGTTGCTGCAATACAGTCAGCGTCTGCCCGTCTGTCTGTCTGTCTGCAGGAAGCGACAAGCTGACAAGCTGCGGTTGCCTAACCACATCCCCCTTCCCTCAACATCCCCACCAGCAGCACAGACGGAAATATCCTTATGCGCGTCAAGTTACAGTGCAAAAAAAAAGCAATCTCACAAATACACACACGCTACATATATATATATATATATATATATCTAGGCACGCTTAAGCTTAACACGTATTATTTTGTCTTTGGTTATTTTGAAGCTATCGTTAAATTGAACGCACTTGAACTATTCTGAATAATCGGAATCAGTTCTGTTTTTGTTGCCGCCCGCAAAGGTTGTTGCACACCCACACACAAAAATACGCATATAATTTATCAAAGGGCGAATCGCGAATCGCGAATCGCGTGGGTTCCCCCACAGTGCTGTTCATTTGGCCTTTTTTTTTTGCACATGAAGAGCATAAATTGGATGGATTAGTGCGCTTTTCATTATATCTTTGTTTTTTTTTTTTCTTTTGTTTTCATGACTTAAAGCCATATTGAAATATTGAGAAAAAAAAAAAATATATATATATATATATGATTGTATATAGATTTTTAACAGCCAATGCAGTCGAGGCAATACAAATGATATGGAAACTGTAAACTTTATATAACATATGCACAAATAGAGCACATATATTGCGTAGTTTTTAACTTTCAGTTCCCTCAGCACTCCCCACCCAGCAGTGCTAGTCATAGCTGTTTTTTCTCGCTTTCCTTCTGCACTCACAGGTTGGCAACACTGGCACATTCGCATTCACACATCATACACACATACAGACGCGTATGCGTGCGTGTTTGAGTAAGAAGAAGACATATACACGTATATGTGCATATGTTTTGTTTTTGGATTGTTGTATTTGTATAATTCTGTACTTACTTTGGCAAATTTTGTAGGTAACGCATTTGCTTCTCGCGTCGCAGCTCATCGGTCAGACGGCAATAGGTGTTATTGATGCAAACGCTGCGTCGCAAATTCGATTCCGAGTCCTTGATGCGTTCCAGCTTGTGGGCGCACAGCTGCAGAATGCGTTTGCGTTCCTCCCGCTGACGCAACTTTGGCGAGATCATTGGCACGCGCGACCGATGATGATGATACCCAATGGGCGGCGAGACACGGGGCGGTCCAAACATGTCCGACTCATCATCACCGTTGCTGTTTTTGCCGTTGTTGTTGTTGTTGCCTGCATTTGTGTTCGTTGGCAAGGTCATTGTGCGTTGCGGTTGCTGTCTCTGTGTGTGTGTGTGTGCCTGTATGTATATGTGTGTGTGAGAGCAAGAATTGTGTGTGCGTTTGATTGGCATGCAAAGCCTCTTCTTTTGTCGCCGACTCTTTCAAGTCTCTCTTTCTCGCTCTTGCTCTCTTCTTTTATAACTTTAAGCAACTCCTGCTGCTTTTTCTTCGTCTTCTTTTTCTTCCGCTTGCTTAGCTGCAATTGCTGCTGCTGCTGTTTCTTCTTCTTGCCAATGCACACAACACAAGGTAAACCACAAATCGTTCATACGTCGTTTGCTGAGCTGATTTGAACTTTTATTTTTATCTTTTGTTCTCACCACACTTGAATTATAGTGTAGTTAGTAGTATTTGACAAAAATTTTACAGGAAGCAACACTTTTTTTCTCTCGTGATCTTCAGATCGTGTGTGTCTGTGTGTGTCTGAGTATGTGCGTGTGTGTTTGTCTGACTGACTGACAGACAGGCACCTTTTGTCGCGACACGCGCTCGTTTGGTGTTTGGAGTGCGTACGCTGCTCTTCTTCTTCTTTGCGTTTCGCTGCTGCTGCTGCTATGGCTGCGCTGCTGCTGCGCTGCTTGATTGCGTGAGATTTCACTTTGCTTACGGCTTGCTGCTTACTGTCCCGTTATGTTTCGTTAAGTCTGCCTGCATTCATTTATTTATTTATTTGCGTTCGCCTCGCCTTCGAAATTCAAAATAATCCAGGACTTTTGAATTTGGCGCATGTGAGAGAAGCCACAACAAAAAAAAACCAAAAAAAAAAAGAAATATATTGTTTTTTTCTTTTTTTTGTATAAGTCTAGATAATTGTTCTGTTTTAGGCACACTACTACTAACTACTATTGACAAATTGCAATTAAAGTCGGCAGCCTTTCTTAGTTTGATTTTTTTTTTATTATTATTTTGCTGAACGCGCGGCGCAGTCGGGCGGTGGGCAGTGCAAGTTGTGCAGTTGGAGGGCTGAGCTGAGCGGGGGGCGGTCGGGCGACGCACAACACAAAAGTCTTTTGCTAATTGTTTGTTTGTTTCGAATTTGTAAAGTGTTCTATTAATTATAGGCGCCTGTTGAAGTTTGCGTGAGTGACAGAGAAAGAGAGCGGAACGTGTGTAAGTTGGGGAGCGCGTGGTGTTTTTTTTTTTAATGTTTTTTGTTGTTGCTCCGTTACTTGTGCGTTACTAGACCGAACTTTGCCGCTGCCGCTGCTTGCACGTCCGCACAGTTCTCGCGTTCGATGTGAACTGAAATACTGAATGAATGAAGCGCACGGGCTTTGCCTGGCATCAGCAGCAAACGGCCGTTTTGTTTGCCTGACAGCGACTGCGGCGGCTGCTACGAAGACGTCGACGTTAACATCGGCAGCGCGCACAGATGTTCGACTAACTTCGGTTCGGTCTCTGCCCGGCACGTACAAACGGAAGTAGCTACCAGCAGCAGCGAAGCGTCGTCTAAGCTGAGCAGAGCGCAGCAGAGCACAGCAGAGCACAACACAGCGTAGTAGAAGCGCCATTCAAAGAGAATGCAAAGAGCAAGCCTAAAGAGAGCATTGGATGGCGTACGTGCGTGCTCTACTCCCCATATATGTATACATATGTATGTGTGTGTATGAGTGCTGCTGATATGCAAGATTTTTGGAACTCTATGAATGTGTGCGTGCGTGTGTGTATGTGTGTGTGGGGATTTTCTTAGCTTGTTTTGATGTTTGTCTGCTGTGCCATTTGTAACGGAAGTAAAGCGCAAACACACGCGCCATCAGCTCCACAACAGAGCGAAGGGTGGGCGGACGGCGGCGGACACTTCGCAAAAAAAAAGAACAAGAAAAAAAGAACAATAACAATGAGAGAGTCTCGTTGTCGCTGTTGCTCTGGCGGCTTGGCACGCGCTTTGGTCGCAGTCAGTCGTCGCTGCGACCAATGAGCATAAATTTTATAGTTTTCTTTTGTGTACGTACAAGCACATACATATGTATGTATGTTTATGTGTGTGTGTGTATGTGTGCAGCATGTTGTATTTTGTATTTATTTTCGTTTTTTTTTTGTGTTTTCTGGTTGGTTTTTATTATGTAAAAAATAACTGGCCTTATGCGACAACCCCACAAATCGTTAGTGGCCATATCTACTAGGTTGCCGCATCAGAAATGGCGGCGGCGCTGCCTCATCAGTACCAGGAATTGTTATTGAGTTTAACTTGTACAAAATGTGCTCGAATATGTATTTTGCATGCATTTATATTTTTCGTTGAGCTGATAATCCTATAAAGATACAAAAGATCACCCCACCCCCCTCCCAACGCATTCTCTTAGGGATCAACACAAATTTGGCTCTCTTCGTCGCTCGCTACTCAGTTTAGCGCACGTGTGTATGTGTCTGTGTGTGTGTGTACTTAAGGTCATTTTTGGCACTCTCTTATTGTTTCAGAGGCAGGCTGACAATGAAGTTCCAAAGAGAGCGGCTTGTTCATCATTGTGATTATTATAGTTGCTCTTGCTGTTGTTGTTGTTCTTATTTTCTTGTTATTAATTACCACTGCGCTGGCTTCTAATTCGCTGAAAAATTCTTGACTTGCGTTTGTTTTTATTTAATTTTTTCTTTTTATTATTTCATTATTTGTTGTCGTGCCAAAAGAAAAAAAAAGAATTGAGGAGGAGGGAACGAGAATCTAGCGATAAACAATGCAAAATATAATTTTCTTGCTTAACGTCATGACTCAAATGTTTACACACACTTTAACTGTGAATTGTGAGTGTGGCAGCAAGCGAGCCAGTATGGCAAGAAGAAGCATAACCATTTGCTGGAAGCGTAACATAAATTGTATTCGGGTGAATTCCAAAATACAACAAGCAAAAACAACAGCAACAACAATAACAACATTCAAATTATATGCTTATTGACTTAACCTAGAAGATTTTCCTTTTGCGCTTTTGCGAGAACTAACCTCATTTCGATATTTATTATTACGACGAACTGAGGACTGAACAAAAATATGGCGATTGTTTTTTATTGATGCATTTTCCTCGACCTTGCAGGCGTGTGTACGTATTATCTACGTATTATCAGATTTTTACTTGCTGCACATACATACATGTACATATACAAGCCTACACACACACACACACACACACACATGCAATTGTCTGCACATACATATATACACACACACACACACAAACATACAGATGTGAGTATGCACATTATAACTGCTTATTTGCAAAAGTAATCATCACAAAATGCCGCCAACTTATTCGCATTCAGTTCAATGTCACACACACACTTGTTATGTTTGTGTGTATCCTTTGGATTGCATTGACCTTTTGTGGCCTTCGGAAACTGCCCCTGGCCCCATTTGCCAAACAGCAGCGCTATTCCCCTCTCTCACTATTTCTCTCTCTCCCTATCTTTCTATCTCCCTTTCCCGTTCCCTTTTCGACATACAGGTACAGATGTATGTGTGTGTGTGTGTTCTTCAAGATAAATTAAAATTACGTAATTAAGCAGGCCTAACAATTAAGTATTTATTGCTTTCAATTTGCTGCACGATAAGCAAAGCCTCAAACTCCCACCCCACCCACTCCTTTCCCAAAAAAAAAATAAAATAAAATAAAACGCATACAAACACACACAAACATCGCTGACGCACAAAGAGCTGCCAGCGTCAGCGACGACGACGACGGCGACGGCGACGACTACCTGCGGTGGCTGAGCTAAAAGAAATCACCGCGCTTTATTTCAAGATGGTGTTTCATTTTGCTGCTGCTGTTGTTGCTTCTTCTTCTTCCAATGATGATGTTACTGTTATTGTTGTTGTTGCTGCGTTCGTTCTTTGGCGCGCGTTAAGCGGGCGCGGAATGGGCGGCGCTGCATGTTTTGGCTTTGACAACTACATATACACATACATCCATACATATGCACATAAATACGTCGCGACTTTGTCGATTCGCAGCCGTAAATTTCCAGCAACACAAATAACAACAGCAACTGAAACGAAAACGAAAACTGCCCTCTGCCCAAGCAGTACCCAAAAACAAAACCAACACAGATACACACACACACGTACACACACACAGTCACATGCAGCAGCAGCCGTTGTCGCGACGTCTGCATTCAGACAATCCCAGCAAAGAGTCGCTGCTAAAGCCAAACAAAAGCACAAATCTCAAAGGTGGACGGACAAGTAGGAGTTGAGTTGATACCAATGCATATGTATGTGTATGTATGTGTATCGCATCAATGGCAACAACAACAACAGCAATTTAATTATCAATAACATATTTGAGTTTCGTTTGTCCCTTGCTCACCGCACCACCACCACTTGCACACTTTGTCTGTGTTTGTGTATTTGGCTCTTTTTCTTCTTTTTTTTTTTAGCGCACGCTCTCTTTGCTGCTCGCAATGCTCTCTTAGCATTTGCAAAAGCAGCAGCAAAATTCGACACAGACACAGTGGGCCTGGACAGCTTTTGCATATTTATTTTATTAGCTCGGTCCTTGATCGAACAGATGTTACATATATTACATGTGACTTGCAAAAAACGCTAATAATAATCAATATAATCCAGTGACCACTGTTACATGAAATTTTCCATAGGTAATAAAATGATTGCCCTCAAAGTGCACTCTAACTGAGAAGCAATAAAATAGTTGAAGATATATACAAACAAATACATGCTTAGACACACACACACAACTTATATATATATATATATATATGTATACATGTAACACAAATTGTCTGTCGGATCATTAACATTCCATACCAAAACAGTCCCACTGTGCGCCGTGTGAATGAACGTATAAAAAGTGAGAGCGCGTCGACGTTGACGTTGACGTCGACGTCGTCGTCGCGCTCATAAACGAAAATCAATGACTCCCAATGCTCGCCGCCGTCGACAATGGAGCGATTCCCCAAACCTCTTGTTTCCCCCCCGTTCTACAATCTTGTTGCTGCTGTTGTTATAACTATTTGTTGCTGTGGCTGCGATGGCTTCTTCCTTCGCTCATTTGATCTTCTTGTTGTGTTGGTGGCCAAAGCAGCGCAGTGATAAATGCGTCAGCGTCAGTGGTTTTTGACTGTAGCGCATATACATATATATGTATGTATATATATATAAATATATATGTATGCATATATTTGTATGTGTGTTTGTGTTGTCCTGTTCTCGTTGTTTCTGTTGATAGTGTGCATTAAAAATGAGTTGCGTTTGGAGTATTGTTGAATTGCCTCTAAATATTAAAAGTTTATGTAATGCACACACACACACACACAATCAGACAGACACAGATACAGATACACACATCGGCGCAGACGAGAGGCAAGATTTCGTTGTTGTTGCTGCTATTGCCATTTTACAACACTGCTGCCTTTGTCGGTGCTTTTTACTGTGTGCCCTTCACAAAATGGTGCCGTTGTTGCTTATTGTATGTTTGCCCACATTTCATATAAACATACAAATATATTTACATAATAGTGTATGCGTGTTTATCAGTGTATAATATTGTATATATATATATATATGTGTGTGTGTGTATGTAAATTTTGGTCATGTTTGCAATATATACAGAATCTATTGCAAAGCAGCAGGCAAAAGGGTAACGGTAACGGTATTGCGACCACCAGACCGGCGAAAGTATGCTTCCCATGCTCCCCGCTCTTTTCTTTTTTTGTTTTGCTAATCTCTCTCTCTCTCTGTCTTGCTTTCCGTCGCTTACTGTGTATGTGTGTCTGGCTGTGTCAGTGTCGTTCTCTTTGCTTGGCACTCTTTGTGTTTATGCTTTCAACATTGATACGTGCCATCAGAGAGTAACACACACACATATAAATATATAAAGACAGAGAGAGAGAGAGAGCATAATGTGCACCAGAGGGACACGGACAGCTGGCTAAGTTTGTAATTAATTGCGGCCTTGCCAAACACACACACACACAAATCCACACTCATAAGATTCATCCCCCCTCCCCTCGCTCATAACACTTATGCTGGGACGCTTGCTCGTCTCTGCTGTCCACTGGCTGCTACTGCAACTGTTATGTTTTTAATTTTCACCCAGGGCCCAACATGGCGCGCTAGTTACAGTTACTGTTGTAGTACATTTTTATGTTTGGTTGTATGTACATATGTACGCTATGCCAATGAGTCAATAATCGGTCAACGCAAAGCTGGCTTAAGAGCAAAACTCAAAGAGCGCGACGTGATCATCGGACTAATTGATTGTGTACAAATTCTTTGTTGAAAAAAGCACATGACAAATATACATATATTTTGTATACAAATTATATGTACTTAAATACTCTTCACTTCTGTTCTCTTTTTTAGTTCTTGCTTGTTGTTAAATTAAACGAATCTTTAGAATATTTAGCATAATCGCTTGCTGCATTTTAAGCGCCAGCCGCACGCTGCTTGCATTGCTACGCCCACCTTTGCTGCTTCTTCCATTTTTTGTGTTTCTCACTTCGACCCCCACAAAAAAAAACCAAAAAACAAAAAAAACACAGCACTGCTGCTGGTGCATATGCTTCAGCCTGCCAGTCTGTCTGTATGGTTGTATATATATATATATATGTGTGTGTGTGTGTGTGTGTGTGCATGTCTGTTTTGTTCATGCCTATGCCTGGTTTACTGCCGACTGCGGCTGCGGCTGATGCTGCTGCTGCTCACCTCTCACTCAACTTATCGCATAATCGCGACGCATTGTCAAGACTGAGACTGACTGCTCTCTCTCCCTCTCTCTCTCTCTCTCTCTCTAAGAGACACACACACACATGCATAATTCCCATTGCCCTTGCTGCTGCTGTTGTGGTTGTTGCATTTGTTGTTGGTGGTGGTGATAGTGCTGCCACTGCAGCAGCAGCAGTGCAGTCTGCAGCCATGTTAATATTTATTATTGCTTTGGCACGTTTTGATTTTGATGTGTTTTGCGCTAAACGTTAATCGTTAAAGAACAGCGCCAACAAAACTCTTTCGTTTTGCACTGCAAATGCGGTGCGCGGCATAAAACTGATTTCGTAATCTAAATAAGCACAGATGTCATCGGCTGTGAATAAGTACATACATATTTATGTACATATGCATGTGCTTACATATTCTTACATATTCTGCTTAACTCTTAATACATTCTTCTCTCTGTGTGTGTGTGTGTTTGTACATATTTTACTTTGCTTGCTAATCATCCATTTTGTTTCATTCGATTTCATTTCATTCCACTTTGTGCGCTGTTTGCTCCAATTGATTCTCAAGTTTGCTTGCGACAATTTCGTATCATTCCGGAATCACACACACATCTACATCATAAGTATGTGTGTACGTGTGTGCGTGTGTGTGTTGCATATGTCGAAATGATTTCCATTTCCATTTATTGTGTTATTGCTTTTAGTGGCGCTGCCTCCGTTTGCTATTTGCTGTTACTGTTGCGCTGACTTCGCGGTCGCTTCTGTTTTTGTAATTTGTGTGTTTGCCGTTTGCGTAGTTTAAACCTGTTGGCTCTAGTCGTAGTTATTGTTGTTGTCAGCGTATATGTACGCATGTGTGCTTGTATGTGTGTATATATATTCAAATCCTGCAAAGTGCGTCAATACTCAGCGGGGATTCTGCAAAGAATTGCGCTTCTAACATTTTTAGCGACGATGCTTGCGTAGATCTTATATGACCTTATCTATATGTGTGTACATATGTACATACATATGTATATGACATTTGAAGCACAACATATTGCGCAAATCTGTGGTTGACATTTCCCCTCAGGTGACATCGTGTCTTGCAGCCAATCGACTGGAATAATACTTGCGATAATTACGTCACACTTATTTGTCTGCTTTTTTCTTCGACTAGACAATTTAAATAATAAATAAATAATAGTACAAAAAATATGAATGAAAAAACTTTTGTTTTTTATAATCTTATCATTGAAGTGAAAATAATAAATATTTTGAGATATGCGCACATACACAGCTGGACAGTAAAATATGTATGTATGAAGAGAATAACTTGTATTTTATTTTTGTGTGTCATTTGTCTCTGGCTGAAGAACGCATTAGAAGAATTAGCTAGTGGAACATCCAGTAAAGTTTCTTTCCGTTGTTCAAAATATGACTCAGTTTTATGGTGAGAAAATCGAGAACACAATCTTTCAACAACTTTTTGGTTTCTCATCGGGGCAAACTGAGAAAATGTCAATATTATTCCACTACTATTATAATGATATAATATAATATATAAAGCATATATAACAATTATTGCAATTAAGTTCTCTTCAACATTTTATTGTTTTTTTAAACAATATTTGTGGTATTTTGTGTTTCCAATAGAAAACAACAGCTGTAGTTGACTGTCCAGGTGTGTATATATAAGCGAAAGTTGATTGTCTTTAGCACAGCATACTTATTGGGGCTCAGAGGGTGACCGTAAATAGCATAAAAACGTATCGTTTCTGCTTACTTCATTTACTAAAACGACAACAACAAACACAGTCGATATGAAAAAAAGAGAAAGAGAGAATGACAGACACACAAACACACGCAGAGATAAACAGCCCTGTCTGTGATTTGCAAATGCTCCCCCTCTCTCTATCTATCTCACTACACACACAAACATGCACATATAAATAGATTTGTATGTGTGTGTTGACATTCATATCATTGGCAATTTAGCGGCGCAATTGATAAGCACTTGTGACGTCATGGCAGGTGAAGTTCGTTTGTGTGTATGTGTATGTGTTTGTGAATATGTATGTATGTATGTATGTATGTATGTGTGTGGTATGTATGTGGGTAGCCCAATGGATCAAAAGCCAAACCAAACCAGTTTCATCACGCACATGGGCAGGCAAGTGTTGCCAGACATTGGCAAAGGCATTAACATTAACTTAACTTTTGTTACGGCTTAAGTCCAAGCTACAAGCATACACACACACACACACACACACACACACATACATACAAGACTTGCTCAATGGAGCAAAGACAAATTGATTTAATTACATTTCAAATATGTTAACAAGCTACAACAACAACAACAGCAACAGCAACTGTAGCGATAACAAACGAAAAATGCACACGAAATGGAATTTCCGAAAATCATAAACATAGAGGAGACCGCAACAAGAAGCAATGCTGACGCTGACGCTGACGCTAACGTTGGCGACAGCGACGTTGACGCCTATGCCGAGCGTCGACCTGTATTCGCGCGCGCTTTTTACATTTAGTTTGTTTGCGGGCCTCTGGCAAACAAATACATTCGTTTCTACGAGTGTGTGTGTGTGTGTGCATACCTGCGTCAGACCGTGCCTACCAGTGTGTATGTATATGTATGTGTATCTATGTGTGTGTGTGAATGTATGTGTGCATGTGTCTGAATGTGCATATGTTGCCATTTTGTTTGGGCCACTGAGACTGACGTTTGTTTTTTTTTTTGCCTTTTTGCTGTTGTTGTTGGCGTGCGAGAGTGTGAAGCGGTAGCGGTAGCGCCAACAGCGTCAACAGCTGGCGGCTGTCGGACAGGCCAAAGCCTCTTTATGACCATAAAAGCCATAAAAAGCAAGAAGAGCCAGTCAGCCAACAACAACCAAAATTGAACAGCTCCAACACAAAGAGAGACAGAGAGAGAAGGAGAGAGAGAGAGAGAGACCGAGACAGCGAGCACGCCAATATACAAAGAGTGTGAGAGCAGCGCAGAGGCAGAGCCAGAGCCAGAGTCATAGCAGCTAGAGCGAGAGCGAGAGCGTTGACAATTTTATTCGATTGGGTCTGTTGTTGTTGTTGTTGCTATTATTGTATAAAGGGTTGTGGGTGAGTGAATTAAGTGCGGAAGGGGGGAATAACGGACAAGGTTGTAAGCATGTGGCGTCGCTCGCCAACGTCGACGTCGGCTTCGTGCGTATGCGCTGCGTATATATAAATATACGCATGTATATGTGTATGTGTGTGTGTATTGTGTGCGTGTGCGTTTGTGTTGAGCTTTTTGCTAGAGTTGTTTTTGGGTTTTTTTTCCATTATTTTTTTTCTTTTATTGCCACTTGCGTGTGCTGCCATTTAGCGCATTTAATTTAATAATTAAGTCGCTGATGGAGACGTGTGCGCTCTTTAACACTAATATATATATATCTATATATATATATGTGTGTGTGTGTGTGTGTGTGAATTGGCCTCTTTGCATTTTCCCAGCTCTTAATGCTTAAGTACAAATCAAATAAAATAAACAAAGAGCGCAGAATTGAGAGCAGAGCGCAGGCGACGATCATCGCTCTCTCTCTCTCTCTGCGCCAAAATGAGCAAAGAACGTTAAACGGTATAAACGAAAAGGATTTGAAATAATAATCGAAAATCGGACTAAATATACATTTTAAAGCAATATTTGTGCCAACTGTCAACAAGTTAATTAATCAAAAATCTCAACTCAAGAAAAATAAATAAATCAAATTTGAAAAAGGTTCTTTTCTATCGTAAAAGTAAAGCAAAACTAGCAAAATGGCTGCAGCAAATAACAAGGAGAACTTGAATCGGTTGCACGTGAAAAAGCGGACAGTGCCTTCAAACGAGGCAGCCACAAAACGCGTCGCGCTCTGCGACCAACAGAATCGGGGATTAGCTGCTGAAATGACCATCAGAGAGGTGCAAGATGTACGCCTGTGTGGCAACAAGCTGCGCCGCATGGACAGCAACAATGTGGCACCAGCTGCTGTTGCAGCGGGAGTTGCAGTCAAGATAGAGGTGTTGTTGCCTCGCGCACAGCTGAGCAAGGAAACTGTTGACTTGACCAGGCTGCCAAAGTGGCACAACGTGCCACAGGCAGCAACCCTATCGAGTCGTCGTGTGGCTGATGTGGCAGACATTGATGCGGCTGAGATTTACGACTATATGTACGAGGTGGAGCAACAGCAGCCCATCTGCCCGGCTCACTTGAAGGATCAGTCGGAGGTGACGCATGAGATGCGTGCCACTCTCATCGATTGGATCAACGAGATGCATTTGCAACTCCAGTTGCAGGCGGAGAGCTTCCACTTGGCCGTCGCCATTATCGATCGCTATCTGCAGCTGGTGAAGGACACCAAACGCACCAAACTGCAACTGGTCGGCGTCTCGGCGCTGTTGATAGCCACCAAATACGAGGAGCGGCTGCCGCCGGCCATCTGTGTCCTTGTCCACATTACGGCTGACACGTACACGGTCCACGAGATCCGGCAAATGGAGCTGCACATACTAAAGACGATTGATGGCAATCTGTCGCGTCCATCGCCCAACTATTTCCTGAGGCGCTACACGCAGGCAGCCAACACCGATGTGCAGCATCGTGTCATGTCCGAGTACTTCGTGGAGCTGGCCAGTCTCGACTACAAACTGGCCAGCTGTAAGCCCTCCGAGATAGCGGCTGCTTCGCTGTTGCTATCGCTGCACCTGCTCAATGGCAATCCTCGTGCGCCGACGGGCTTGACGGCCAGCCACTGGACACCGACGCTGGTGCACCACTCCAGATACACCGCTGACCATTTGAGGACGATAACGCGACAGATTGCCAAAGTGGCCAGCGATGCGCCCACTGCCCAACTGAGGGCCATGTTCAACAAGTATCAGTCGAACGACTACCAGCGGATCGCACTGCGCACGGAGCTGCGTGGTCCGCTCATGGACTCGATTGTGGGCCAGCTGGAGAATACCTAAGTAGAATATCTAAAGAGAGGACTGTAATTTGAAGTTTTGTTTCTTTTTATCGTTGAATATCTTCGACTGTATATGGCATATATAATATATATTTATGTATCTGTGTCTTCCTCTTTTCCTTGCCTCTTTAAGTTACTACTACAACTACTTTCCCCAATTTCATAAATAGCGTTGGAGCCCAGCTGGCGGCTCTGCCGAAACATGAAAATCACTTCACATTTTTGATAAGAATGAAAATGTGTTATTCTTAATATTTATGAAAATATAGTTAAACGATTTGTTGTCAAATGTTGTTAACTGGGGCACTGTTAGTTGGCTAAGATGATGCATAGATAACAAACAATTCATTGTCGTACAATGGCCCAAATACCGCTAAAAAGCTTTTAAATAAATATTACCTTGAAGCGAGCATTTTATACGAGGGGCTAATGCCCGAAATATCGTTGAAGTTGTTGCTGTTTGTTGTTTGTTTTGTGTTTCTTTTTGTTGCTGTTGTTTTTTTTTGTTTTTGTTTTTTTTTTGGCATGGATGTGACATTGATATAAATAATGCTGAGTCAAATGTTGGGTCGTTCGCCTATGGCTAACCATGGTTATCTGTCTATTGGCTGTCACAAATGAGATAATCAGCTGTTGTAGATCTGATGCTAACCGATTGCCGATTACCGATTACCGATTGCCAATTACCAATTACCGATTAGCAGAGGGCAACTGCATATAAATGATTTAATGCAGTCAAATTGCCGGATCATTTCTCGAGCACATTACAGCAACACTTTTCCATTGGACACACAAAAGCAGCAGCAACAACAACAATTATCATGTCATGTTTGCAAAGTAAATACACACACAACAACAACACGCATAAACAAGCAAACACACACACACATGCATAGGCAAATACAAACACCCACAACTATTTTTTTTACGCTTTTTACGGTTACACGTGCGTGCGTCGTCCTCGTCATTACCCTACTATTGTCTACCCCCACCCCACACCCCTTGCTCAACACTGAGTCCCACTCTCTCATAAAATCATCAACACTCGACAAACCGAAACAGAGCACAACGTTTGCCAGCCACACCATTTTATAGTCTCTTTCTCTCTCTCTCTCTCCCTCTCTCTCTCTCTCTCTCTCTCTCTCTATCTATCTATCTGTGTGCGTTCTCTTTAGCGTGCGCTCTCACAGTTGCGGCGCTCTCTCTCACTACACTTTACTACTGCGTGTGTACTTCGGTTTTGGCTTCTCTTGCTGTGCTGTATTTTAAATACACTTTGCGAAGCAAACCAGCCCATCAGCTGGTCGATCAAACTTAACGTAACTCTCTTTCTCATGCACAGCTGACTTCAAATTGTACTAAGCTTATTTTTAGAAATTACATGTTTTTAAAGTTATTTCGAAGAGCTTGATTTTGGGGTTTAATTATTCAAATATGTATGCGAGTCGCTGCTGCTGGGTGTGCAGTGAGTGTATGGGCGCTTCGGTCTTATGGCATTTATTGTGGTATTTTACTTGTTTTGTTTTTTTTTTTATTGCGGTTTTGCATTTAGAAATTGATGATGATGCCTCTTTGTGCTTGCGTGCGTGTGTGTGTGTGTGTGTGAGTTTGTGTGGGAACGTTTTCCTTTTAAATTGAAAGTGTAACACGAAATGTGCGCGCGTGTTTTTGTGTGTGTGTGTGTTGTGTGCATGTGTCCGGGTGTCCGCCCAGCCCGTAGCCAGTGGCGTGAAAAAACATTTTATGGTCTTCTGTTTAGCTTTTTGAGTGGCTTTAAAAATGCGTCTCTCGACTGATTTTTATTTGCCTCGTGTCGTGTCGTGTCATGTCTCTTGCACAAGCGCACGCACTCATCTCAAGCATTCTTAACATATTTTCCCCGATTGATATCTTAGTTTGAGAACACAGCCCAGGCCAGGCCAGGCCGGGCCAGGCCAGGTACGCTGTGCAAATGCTCTTGCATACCTGCCTAAATACATGTGTATTTATATGTACATATGTGTATTTCATTCGATTACATTTCATTTAGAGCTGTTTCTCTTCGCTCTTGTTTAATGCATTTACAAACTTTAGTACCCTTGTTGTTATTGTTATTGCCATACGTGTCATGTTAACTTTTATAATATCAACAACAACAACAACAAAAACTACAACTACAACAGCAGCAACAGCAGCCGCAACGTTGAGATGAGCCAGAAAATGCCGGAAGTTAACGCCGCAGTCAATATGTACGTCAACGTCGCTGCCAGCGTCACTGTTGCGCTAAGTAGCAACGCTAACGCTAACGCTGTTCACTGTTCGCTCTCCGCTGTTGACGTTGACGTTGACAGCAGGCGTGCTGTGATGCTGCTGCTGTTGGCGATGACGGCGTCGTCACCTTCGGCGTTGCCGTCGACGTCGCTGTCAACGAAAGCGTTGACATTGCTTTTGTTGTTTTCGATTTTCGTTTTCGCTTGTTCTTATTGTTATTGTTATTTGCGTTGTTGTTGCTGTTGCTGCGAATAAGCAACAATTATGGTTGCGGCGCATTTCGAATTCAAATTCAAATTGAATATATGTATATTTGTTGGCGTTGTTGTTGTTGTTGCTGTTGCCGCTGCTGTTGTTTTCAATTTATTCAGCATTAAGCAACAGACAAAAACAAAACATGCGCGCGCCACTCTTTTTGTTTATTGTACATACATACATACATGCATACAGATGAACATCTGATGTATGTATGAACAATTTATCCATAAATAAATGAATTTTTCTCGCATTGGAGCTGTCGACAGCGCGGATTTCAAGATGAACCAGACTTCAACTGATCCCCAATTGAAACCAAGATCAACTCAGTTAGCAAAAAGGTCGTCGAATTATTGTCAGCTTATCTTAATGCATACATAATTGTATCCCGGATATAAATTGTTTCAGTGTACGATGCATACAGACAAGGGCATATCCAGGTGGGCGGGCCGGGGAAGAATCTTTAATATATACATACATACATACATACACATTTAATATAAGAACTAAACTCGGAATAATTTCCCAAATATAAATAGGAAAAAAATAGTATATAAATATATAAACACGCATAAATACTACACAACACACACATACAGACATACACACACACATACAGACATGCACATAAGAGATACATGTACAATTAATATTTGCTTGTCTTCTTTGCATTTGGGTCAAAACCTGTTGACATAAGACATTTAACACACAAATGGGTTAAAATGCTAAACACAATATCATCAAAATAAAGCAACAACAAAAAATCTAATAACATTAAGCAGCAAATAGGCGAAAAGTATGGCAACTACAACAACAACTACCACGACAACAACACCAACAACAACAGTAGCAGCAGCAGCACGTACAAGAGAAAAGAAACGAAACGAAAAAAAAAACCCAAAGCGAAACAAAGAAGTGGAAAACAAATAAAAAAAAATTGCCTCGGGCATGAAGAAGTTTAAATACTCTTGTAAGACGATGTATGTACATAGATACGCAGAAGAAATTGTTGCCATAAAAATACATACGCACACATAGCTAACTGTACACACATACATGTGTCATATGTCGTACACTTAACATTCATGCATACATAACATGCATGTAATACCCTTTACATACATATATATATATATATATATGCACACACACACACACACGCTTATAAGCTAACATAGTAAAAACAAAAATAACAAAGCAAAACCGCTAAATTACAATAACAACAAAAACATCAGCAACTCATTCGTGTGACGATTATCTTGAAATGAGACCATAGCACACACGTACACACACACTCACACATACACACACACTCACACATGCACACGAACGCACACACACACACATGCTTACATTTACAAACACAAACGCCAAGTTAAACGGCCGCGCGCGGAACAATGACGACGCCGACGTTAACGTCGATGCCAACAAGTCCCACAAGTCATTGCGCTGAGCAGCAGCAGCAGCAACAACAACAACAGCGACAACATCAAGCAACAAGGGCGGAAGCAAGAGAAAACTAAAAGCCTAGCCAAAAGAGAACGAACGCACAATAAAGAGCTGAGTTAAAGCAACGACACCGCCTCGTTGACGCTGGCAGCGACGTCGAGGTCAGCACACAAGCGCACACACACATACAGAGAGACAGAAATACATAATACAAATGAGCGAACATTTTTCAGCCGCGTGGTGGCCAGCCCCACGAGTGGACAGGGTATGGGATGAGTCGCCAGTTGAATTGGTAGATTGGTAGGGGAGCAGCCCCCCCCCCCCTTCCCCACGCTCGTGCTTGCTGATGTTTTAGCTTCCATTTGATTATTATTTCGTTTTTGTTGGGTTTTTTTTTTGTAGTTTTTCATTTTGTGAATTTTGTGTATTTCCTGCACACGTTTTATGTCTTACGTTTCGTCCTTAAGCCAAAGAGAGCACGCCCTTCACTCGCCAGTCAATTTCAGCCAGTGTAGCCGTCTCTTTGCAAGCGTGCGCTTGTGTGTGTGCCTGTGTATGTGTCTATGTGTGTGTGTGTTTGTGCAATTATACTGGTTTATTGTGCATAGCCGACGGAGCCGACAATCAAATGTTGCTCTGTGTACAGTGTGTGTATGTGTGTGTGTGTGTTTTTCTTTGGGTGTGTGTATGCTTGTGAGTGCAACGATATTGCCTGAACCACTGGCAGTGCTGCTTCCTCTTTCCATGGCTATGTCATCACCTATGCGCCTTCTTCCCTCAGCCCCATCTCGCTCTCCTCTCTTCTGTCTCCGTCACCGTCTCCGTCTCTCTCTCTGTCGACCTCTCACTCCAGTTTACATGGATTTTGCACGCTTGCTCGCTCGCTCGTTCCGTTGTTCCTCCGTCGTTTTATTTTGGACATTTTTTGTGAGACGCTCCGTTGCTATTGGTATTGGTATTGGTATTGAGTTACTTTCTGGGCTAATCCCGAAACGAGACGAGACGTTGCTGTTGTTACTGTTATCGTCGTCGTCGTTGTTGTTGCTGCTGTCTGTCACTCTGTGTCGTCTTCTTTGTGGCGGCAGGTGAGGGCCAGAAAACTTTCTAAGGTTTCGCCGGAGTCGTTTGAAGTAATCATTGCCCATTTTGCTTCATAATTAATAATCAACGCTTGTGTATCTATCCAT